AAGCAGCCGCAGCCCTGAAACCATGGCTCACCTCCTGCCGCGGCCCTCCTCATCCCAGGCCACTGGCTGTTCTGAATTCGGGTCAGAAACATAGGGGCCTTAATAATCGGAATAGGGTTCCCATTAAAGGGTTGCTTTAAACGGGGTAATAAGGGATCTATAGAAGGGTTGTATATGAGAGACGGGCCGTGATAAGTAGACTAGGGTTTTGTGGTATATTGAATATAAGGAACCCCCCCCAAAAACCAGCATTGGTAATTCGTTCGGCCCCTACAATACCCTAAAGACCCTGAACCCCACAACTAGGGCAAGTTGGATCAAGTGAGCGAGTTCGGGTTTGGTTTCGGGTTTAGGGGGCAAGTTGGCGCAAGTGAATGGGCTTAAGGCTTCAGGGTTTAGGGTTTAGCGCTCCAGGGTTTAGGGTTTCCAGGGTTTTCTGCATTTCTCAGTATTCAGGATGTACGCGTTTCGTGCCTTCGGATATGTAGGGGTAGGTTGCAGGGCTCAGTGTACTAGAATTTGTGCAGTGAATGCCGGGTGGAAGAGGATTTGACGGTTCAGGCTGAGAAGCTATATGAGGACGCGACTGCTTGGGCCAGCAAGGCATATAGGTCCCCGAAAACGTAACCTGCACACCCCACAAAGCCCAAACGTCCCCGAACCTTGGAGACTTATAGAACCCCTGCAATGCCGTGTAGAACCTTGTGCCAACCCCGTATAGAAACCTAGCGCTAACATCCCGGCTCCGGACGCGAAGTGATGTGACCCCCACTCCTATCCCATCCTGAAAAGCCAGACCTCAACACTGTACAAAGGGACCCTAACAGGGACCCCTGAAGCACTGTAGGACCCTTGTGGATTCTTACATCAGAAGAAACCTTAAAGAAACCCATATAGATCCCCCTAAACCCTTATTTTTGCTTAGGTTTCCTCACTGTTATCGTCTATGCTTCAAAAACTTGTTCTACTCATTGTGGCCCCTGTATGACAGTGAGGCCTTTCACCCTCAAACCCAAAGCCAGAAAGCCTCAAACCTCAAGAAGCCCTAAACTAAACCTTAGCCCTCAAACTCTGCAAGCCCTAAACCCCCCAACCCTATATAGCCTAAACCCCACGTACCCTAGACCCTAAGCCCTGAACCCTATATACCTAAAACCCTGAACCTTTGTTGTGCAAGTCTTTCTCAGGCGGATGACGTCGGCTACCCGAATCGGGAAGCCAAAGGTAAAGGCCGCTATATTTGGGTTTGAGGGTTCAGGGGTTGTGCGGTTTAGGGTTCAGGCATTTAGGGTTCTAGGCTTTAGACGTTTAGGTGTTTAGGAGTTTGGGGGTTTGGGGTTTAGGGCTTTTAGGGTTTAGCCAGGTGTTTATGAGTGTAGGGGTTCAGGGTCTAGGGGATTATGGTCCGTGCTAATGCTCAGGGTTAGGTTTAGGTGGGTTAGGAGCTTTGCTGAGAGCAGATCAATTATGCGATCACATGTCGCACGAAGGAGCTTGAATAAACTTGAATGCTTCATGTTGTGCTTGATGAGCATCACTTAGAGGGTTGTCCGCGGAAATGTTTTCGTCGATCAATTCGCGAGCGAACAACAACGATTGCGTAAGCGATGCATGCAACCATTCCTATCATACTAAATGCCAGCATGACCTCGGTTATGACAGTATTGTTCGCATAATATGTGTTAGTCTGACCGTCCCAGTTCTTACTATGGTGCAGTTTCCCATGGCTGGATCCTTACTATAAGAACCCCAAGTACGGTACCTCTAATTTTCGGAAACTCCCATATGATGCTGTTCCAGGGGGCCCCTTCTTACAAGTATACGAGAATGTACGGCAGAACGCCTATTCCACTTCTTACTGCCCGTTTATTAGACTTCTGCGAGCCACTGAAAGCTCTTCGGCAAAGGTGGTGGAAGAGGTTCGGGCCGGCCCCAGGCGAGGTGCCATGCAGATGTTGATACCAGGAGGGATGAAGAGCTCTAGCGGCACCGTTACCGTTCGAACGAGAATTTTCCGCGAAAGTGATCGCTAACGTAAGAGTTTCGCTTGATGTCCCTGCCAAGAGTTTCTCTTGAGGTCCTTGCCAATATCGTGATGTACTGTCTTACAGATTCGAAAAGGAGCTCCCCATACCGTAGAGCAGTGTCCACATATGAAGTGTGGGTACAGTAATTGCTCGAAGCAAGTCATGGTGCCACTGGTCCAAGCAACAAAGCAAGCAGCAGCGATAGTGCTACGGATAGCCCGATTTCAACATTAGGGAAGCAAGGAAGTATTAGAGCAACCTGGACCATCAGCTTAGCTTGGACAAACGCGCCAGTTGGCAGCAGGTGTACGGCGAGCGACTAAGCAACGCTGGCCGTGTCGTGTGTCGACTGGCCATACGCCAGACTCGCAGCCGTAGAAAACCCACAGCGACAACGACCACCACCACCATCCCCACCACCACCACCACCACCACCACCACCACCACCACCACCACCACCACCACCACCACGACCGCGTTGGCGACCACGACGACGGCTATACTAAGCATACCCCTGCTACTACTACAACGACAACTACTGCTGCTGCTTGCTGCCGCTGCGACTACCGCCAACCACTACTACTGCGAGATTCTCGTAAATCTTGTTCGAGTGTCAGAAGCATGAACTGCAATTAACTTCTTCCTGACGGCTAAAGCCGTATGACTTAATTAACTACTTACTACGCCCCTGCGGAGGATCTCAAATCCTAAACCTTAAACTCCAAACCCCAAGCCACAAAGTCCAGGCTCCGCTGGCACCTAGTCGGCAAGCTTTGTCCGATCTGGGCAGTGGCCAGACTGCTGCTCAGAATGAGAGAGCCTCCGGCTCATTTTGGTTCTGTGGGGCGTGGTTTTCGTGGGTTTTGGATTTTGGGCTTTCGATTCTGTTTGGCCGCAGTGCCTCACAGTTTAGGGTTTTGTAAGTTTGGGTTTTACAATTTTGTGTAAAGGCTTGGCCAGTTTGGTTGGCAATTGTACCTGCAACTACCATATCCCAGATTGATTGGGAGAGCCGATGGCTTCCGAAAAGCAGGATATGATAGTTCAAGACAAGTTAAGTTAAGGATTCCAATTCCAACTCTAAACCCTGAACCCGTGACCCATGAGCTCTACGCTTTCAGCTCAACCATGCTGGAGCAGGATTTCGGCATGGCCCGATGAAGTCAGAAGCAGTACTCTTTCTACTTAGGATCGCGGGACTTAGCCGGGAGGATTCTGGAGCATCTTAAGTAGGGTTCGAAGTAAACATACTCTAACCATGGCATTGCTACAGTTACCCTTCTTACTTATAGCCCTACTGAATTACTAAATCCCTGATGCCTTGAATAGATATCGGTGTTGTGTCTGCTGCAGGGCACACTGACCACTACAGGTAATGCCTTCTTACTTATAGCCCTACTGAATTACTAAATCCCTGATGCCTTGAATAGATATCGGTGTTGTGTCTGCTGCAGTGGCACACTGACCACTACAGGTAATGCCGTTGCTGCCGCAAAGCTCATTGCCTGCACTTGTGGTTTGCAATGCAGTTGATTTGGCGATATTGTTCAAAGGGAGACGAGACTTTGCTACGCATGCATCACTCGGAGTGTTGACCAATGAGAGGTTCCAAAAACTAGGGGTACCTTATTTTGGGGTCCTCATAACAAGGGTCCTACCATTTTGGGTACTATATTATTGTCCCCTATTTTCGGAAACCCCCAGACGCAGAAGCTACCCCAAGCACACCACCCGAGGTGTCCCAGCAGCCCACCGTTCACACCCCTAAACTCGACTCCTAGAAACCTTTCAAGACCTCTTATAGTTCCCTAGACCCTAAACCCTAAACCCTAACCTTACAGGAACCCCTAGAGTACTAGAGTCCCTAAATCCTCCGAGTAGCTTGATTTCAATCAGTCTCTTGAGCTTCTACAATCGCCACACAAGGGGCTAGTGTTTTTTCACAAACAGACAGTGACAAAGACACAAACGAACAAACAAACTTCACAGGTCACACACGCATCTTTCACCCCAAAGCCTCAAAAGCCCTAGAAGCCAGTAAAACCCTGATCTTCTCGGGCTAGCAATGGCAACAGAAGATGCAGCCGAACCTGGAGGTGGGTCACGCTTTGAAGATCCGGCGATTCAGGGCAAAGCGTGAGAGTTTCCGAAAATTGGGGGTACCTTGTTTTGGGGCCCTTATAATAAGGATCCTACTATTTTGGGTACTATATTAGGGTCCCCTATTTTCGGAAACTTCCATGTGAGAGTGTGATGCTTGCAAGATTGCACTTCTTCTCTATGCATCTCATGAGATGATATAGATGCCTATACCCACAGGCTCCATAGTAGTTCCTTTTTCGCGTTACCTTATAGGATTCTGAATATGACCCCAACAAGGAACTACCATGGAGCCTCTAGGTACACTAGCATTCATATATCCGGCTGCCATTCCCTGATACTGGTCCCTGGGGTTTCTCATTATGCATTTGTAGTCCATAAAGCAAAGAGAAGTAGCTGTGCTTGAAGTTCACCGGTTTTCGACAGCCCTGGAAACCTGTCTGCCTACTTGGAGGTTCATGGGTAGTTGTAAGTGGGGTTATAAGTAGGGTAACTCTAACTATAACCCTTGTTAGGTGACTTATAACCCTACTTACCCCAAGGGTCCAAGTACCCAATAATCATGTACTCTCCAAAATACTAACATACATAACTGCTATCCTAAAACCGACTACCTAATTATTGGGTCCTCTGGACCCTTGGGGATATAACTACCCATGAACCTCGGCCTAGGTCTGCAGATCTGAGGAAGCCTTGAGCAGGAGCTCGGAAGGCTGCCCTACGCTCCCGAACCCTGAGACCCTATAAGCCCTAAACATGGTTTAAGGTCTCGGGTCCCTCACCAAACCCTTAACCTAAACCCAAAACGCTGAAGACTATCCCGTATGCCGAAGAATCCTTGAAGCCTCAACTTGATGAAACTGAGCAGGTGAGATGCCAGCGTCCCCGCACGAACAAGTCTTGCGGTCCTTACGGAAGGTCGGGTTTCTATCTCAGGGCTTTGGGGTGTTTTTTTTCCCCCATTATCCCGGTAGTCGGCTTCTACTCCGACATACCCCACTGACCTGGTCTTCGTGCACGAGACTACACCGGGGCCCTGATCATTAGGACGTTGTTTGTAGGGTATATGCCACCAGAAATATCGAAGGGACTATAAAGGAACAGTTACCCCAAGGGTCCAAGTACCTAATAATCATGTACTTTCCAAAATCCTAACCTACATAACTACTATCCTAAACCCGAGTACCTCATTATTAGGTCCTTTGCACCCTTGGGGTTAGTACTGATGATGCCGACCCTAATCCCGAAAGCACAAACCATCGAGGAACCATGCAGGAATAATAGTTCTGTCTATGCCGACACTGAACCCTACCCCCTAAAGAAACTTAACCCTAAACCCAAAAGTGGCATTTGGTTTTGAGACTTGAGGCTTCAGTTGCTTTAGCGGAGGCTATTGAGTTGAAACCAGACAGAAGACAATAACAACCTTTTGGGTGGGACATCCTTACAATATTGGCCTACGTACTTAAGAACGGCGGTATGGGCTATCCAAGGCCCTGTGGATTTTGTTTAGGTGTGCGTTCACGCCCATATAGTTGCGGAGGGGACTACCTCTGTGTGTTCGGCGTCAAACTCGAAGTGCGCAAGAACCGACACCCTTCACCCTGGAGCCCAAGATCAAAATCCTAAAGCTGACATCCTAGGAAAGGAATGCGAACTGCAAAGTCGCTGCGCCCTGAAACCCTGAACCCTAAACACTAGGCCCCCGAGACCCTAAAACCCTAAGCCCAAAGCCCTAAAGGTGGCAAGCTCTTGGAAACACGGTGCCCAGACAACAGCAAGAGGGCCGGGCCTGCTGCAGGCTGCAGGCGCCGAAATGAAATCCAAGAAACCCTATAGAAAGCATATGTCACCCGACAACAACCCTATAAAACTCATATAGAGCCCTTGATGAACCGTTTATAAAACCCATGAAGAGCCTGTTATGAACCTTCTATAAGAAACCAACAAAGCCATATAGAGCCCTTTATGAACCTTCTGTAAACCCCATATCGAGCCCTTTATGAACCTTTATTCAAGACCCCATAAAGCCCCAAATCATTAGAGCCTTTCTGAACCTTTATTCAAGATCCCGTAAAACCATATAGAGCCCTTTACGAACCGTCTATAGAACCCATATCGAGCGCTTCATGAACCTTCTACAAACACCGAGAAAACCATATAATAGCAGCCCTTTGTGAACCTTCTATAAAACCCATATCGAGCCCTTTCATGAACCTTTCTTTGCGACCCTGAGTTCGAAGCCTAGCAGTCCCTGCTCTCGGTGCATTTAGGTGGCGCAGGTGGACCACGCCAAGGACCCGGAGCCCGAAGAGGCTCGAATCCTTATGAAAAGGGTTTAGGTTTTCTGGGTTTAGGCTTTATGGGTTTAGGGGTTCGGAAGCTTAGGAAAAGGGTTTAGGGTTTAGGCTTTATGGGTTTGGGGGTTTAAGGTTCAGGGTTCCAGTAGGTTTCCATAAACGCTCTTGATGGGGTTTGAGGAGACCGGTTTTCTACAGGTTCTTTACGGTTCGGGTTGCTAGGGTTAAGGTTTAGTTTCATAATCAGAGAAGGGCAATTCTGAGGGTGTCTAGGCTTTCGATTTAGGGGCTTTCACACTTAGAATAGGATGTGAGAAGGTGCTACAGGTTTCTGTGTGCAAGGGTTCAATACAGGTTTAGGGTTTAGGGGCATTGCAGGATAGGGCTTTGGGTACACATACACGCGTATATATATATATATATACAACTGTACAGGGAGGGCTTATGAGTTCGGGGCAAACCACTTCCAAAAGTTGATCAAGACGTAAAGAAGGAATCGTAAACGACATCAAGCAGATGTACGCATCTGCAGCAACAAAGTATAGTATAGTGAAGTTCCGTACACTATGTTACAGCATAGTACAATAAAGTACAGTACTGGGAAGCTGGCAGGGCCCCTCCCACCTTCAGACACAACAGGCCTTGAAGCTCTACTTTGCAGCTCGGCGCCTGGCACAGGAGGAGCGTCGCTGGGCTTTTGGGGTTCTTCAGGGTTTACCTAGAGGCTCCATAGTAGTTCCTTTTGAGGGTTCATAGTTCGAATCCTATATGGTAATCCGAAAAAGGAACTACTATGGAGCCTTAGGGTAGGGCTTATAGGGTTCTGGGGCGTGAGATGTAAATCTTGGGGTTTCGGAGCTTATGTCTAGTCAGGTGCCTCGATGCTGGGTTCTATCCTTCCACCGGGCATGCTATAGGGGCCTGAATAGTTACCTATACTACTCGGGGTCCCTATCATAAACTCCAAAAGCCTACTCCAATATTAAGGCCCGTATATTCTGGCAAGTCCATTTCGAACGAAGCACTTCGAGTTTCAGGGTACGTTGGGTAAGTTCAGCTGCACACGCTGGACTTTGGGACAGGGGCAAAGTCATACTCAGCCACCACCGTACAGTAGCCAAAACCCTCATGCGCAACAAGTCTCGCATTCCCAACGGTGGATGCCGAGATGCCTGAATAATTAGAATAGGGTTTCAGGGCCCAGTATACTATAATTGTGAAAAGAACTATAGGTAATTGCGCAGAGGACCGCTGGGGATCATTGGGTGCTTTCCCTTTGCCATCCGCGGACCTCGCATGGGCGCAGCTGCCTCAGAGAGCACGAGATTCGGGTGCAGTTAATTCAGCTTTAGGGCTCAGAGGTCAAGGGTTTAGGGGCTTAGGGTTTAGGATTTAGGGTTTAGGGTTTAAGGGTTTAGGGGCTTAGGGTTTAATTAGGGGTTGAGGGTTTAGGGAGAAGAGGTACACATGTAGAAGCATGCACGGGACCATCTCCTCTCGATTAGGACCTGAAGAAGACCTACAGAGCCACGGTTTAGGCTTTAGGGTCTAGGATTTTAGGGATTCGGGGTTTGAGGTTTAGGGTGTAAGGGTTTGGCAGGGTTTAGGGTTTAGGGACGTAGGCTCCTGTGTCGTGCAAGGATCCGTGGAGCCCACTTCTCCGAGGATTTTGCTGATTACAGCGAAGAGGCCTGGCTTTGGGCGGGTTTGGCATTGGTTTCTTTAGGTCAAGGGTTTCAGGCTCAGGGTGCAGAGGTTGAGGACCGAAACCTTGATTTCTCTGGAGTAACCGAGTAACCCTTACAGCGGGCCTTATGGCTTCAATTAAGGGTGTTGGTGGTTAGTTTTGCTCTTTGCTGATACGAAGATTAGGTAGACCCTAAACCCTAAACCCCAAACCGTGTCATGGAGCAGAGTATCACGTGCTCTGGCAGTTACCAAGGTCCGGCCGTTTACCTCGACCTTGTCTGCTACCGGTGTGGTTCTCTTGAGTCGTGATGGTGGCAAGCTGAAGAAGATGATGACGACGAAGCAAAACCAGAACCACCCCAGCAAAGAATACAACAAAGGCAGCAACAACAACAACAAGAATAATGACACTAGCAGCAACGGCAACGGCAGAAACAACGCAAATAATATCAGCCAGAACTGCAACACCAACACCCCCTCAACCCGCCACACTCCCCCCCCACCCCCGCCCCCCGCCCCCCGCCCCCAGCCCCTGCCCCACCCCCACCCCCACCCCCACCCCCACCCCCACCACCACCACCACCACCACCACCACCACCACCATCACCGCAACCTCCACCACCGCAACCTCCACACCGACACCACCACCACCAACAACAACAACAACAACGACGACAACAATAGCAACAACGAAATTCATGAGTTTAGGGTACAGTGTACAGCAGCCATCTTAGTGTTCATGCAGGGTTTAGGGCTTAGGGTTCAGCTTTTAGGGCTTAGGGTTCAGGGTTTAGGGGGCTTGAAGCGCCAAAGGGTCCAAAGTGCCTTATATGGTAGAATTGTGGGGTTCTACAATAGTAATTGCTATTATGATATAGGGAAGTATCCCCCATAGTAGTACCTAGGACTGTTTGGGAAGGCAGATTACCATCATCGTCCATTTCGGTGAACTCACTGCCGCTGTGCAAGCAAGCATTGTTGGCATATGAACCAGGCGCCCATGATGCATCCTCAGGCATTGCTTGTTTGATGTCTGGCGTATAGTATACGGCTTTGCATCAGCGACCAGAACGCCGTGTACTGGTGTGGTTTTAGTCACACCGCCATACAGCGCGTATCGCGGTGTGGCAGCTCACCATGTCGATCCCTAACTTGCAGGTGGTTCAGGGGTTAGGGTTCCCATAATAGGGTTCATATTAAGGAATCCCTACCCCAAGAATCTGAAACCCCCCTTTTGGCCTCCCATCAAGGTGGTTCTGCCTTTGCGTGCTGACGAGTCCATGACCATGGCACGCCACGAGGAGCCTTTACAACATAGCTTCTGGTGGGAATGAGGCGTTCGGTAATTCATGTTAGCATCATATCTGAGCTACCTCATGGCGACCGTTGCAGACGAGCTAGGAGCCTTGCTGAAAGTTCGACATCCTAAGCCTTAAATCCTAAACCCAAACCTCTCTTCCCTCACCTTACGATTGGAGAACCCTGAGCCCTTAAGGCTCATCGGAGTTTTAAAGCAGGCTTCGGGGCACTAAGCCCCATGACCTGAACCCTAAAGCTTGAACGTTTAGGGCTCTAGGATAAGAATGGGGTTAATAAGTTTTAGGGTTCAATTAGACATGAGTTTAGGGCTTAAGGTTTAGGGTATAAGGATTTGAAGTGAAGCTAAGGGTCACAACCTCTGATCTCGGAGCCCGAAAGCTCTGGACCTTGGCATGGGGATGGCCGCATTATTGGTCCACCACGCCGGAAGTCACGAGTCCTAGATCACCCCACCCCTGAGCCCTGAGTCCTTCATAAAAGCATGCTGAGTACTACAGAGGCCTAAATAATGACCACTACTATTTAGGGGCTCCTGATTATAGTTATAGTTATAGTATAATGGGCCCCAAAACCCTGCTCTGATTACTAATGGCCTCTTTATTACAGTGTTATGGGTCCCTGGGTCGTTGAGTTGTAAGTACCTATAACTACAATCAGGAAGGGAACAGCTAAGGTACGGATGTCTTACAGACGGTTCTGCAAACCAAAAGCAGCTACGCTTCTGCATCGTAACGAACATACCGAAGATATCCAGAGATGAAACAGCTAAGGTATGTATGTCTTACAGACGGTTCTGCCTAACAAAAAAGTAGCTATGCTTCCGCATCGCAACAAACATACAAGAAATGTATTGACACACATCGCCAAAACCAAACTGAATCCTCAAGAAGCCTTATTCTGGACCCCAAACCCTAAAGAAACCCCAAAGTAGAAACTGCGCAGCCGAAGGACCTGTGCAGAGAGCTCGGAGTGGAGGCCTTTCAGGGTTAGGGGTTTAAGGTTTAGGGTTTACAGTCAAGGGTTTTTTATTTAGGGCTTAGGGGCTAGAGGGTTTTTACTTGCCCTGTGCTTTGTTGTCCGCAACATGCTCTTGCGGTTTGAGGGTTTAAGGGTTTAGGGGGTAGGAAATAGGGTTTAAAGGTTTAGGGTTTGCCGTCTAGGCTAATGGGGTTTTGGTGGGTTTAAGGCTCCTGAGGTGGGGTGGAGTGGGGTGTGGGGGTAATGATGTCCACTTCGCCACCATCTTGTGAACATCATTTTTATGATCATTGTCATCATCCTCACCATCATAATAGTTTTTCCTTCGTGTTCCGTTTCAATAATTACTCCAAAGCGGCTGTCGACAGACCTTAGTCGGTTGGCAGACGCCAAGAACAAGAGTAAATTTGTGAAAAGCGAGGCCGGCTGCACAATTCGCATTCGGAAGGTTCGAAATCTCCCACTGGGGCCAGGGTGTTCGTGTGTCTACGCACAAAGCCCTTGTAAAAACGGCACTTCAAACGCATCCAAAACAAACCTTTCGTGCACAACCCCGCATTTTGCCACGTTTTTGCAAATCTTGCACACCATGTGAGTAAGGCGCACGTTACCTTTCTAGGGCTTAGGGTTTTGGGGTGTAGGCAGTGTAGGGTTTAACATATGGACCTTTGAAACTTACAATAGGTGCCTTGGTGGATCTTATACTATATTTACAGCGAATGTGATTGCTTATTACTCGGACCCCTTTCATGTAGGGTTTTCGGTCTCAGGTCAGGGACAGGTGGGCTTAGGGTTGAGACGGATTTTGCGTTATAGGTTTTTTGTTGGAGGGCATCTGTGAGGGTTTAAAATGTTCTAGACTATGGAGGTTGGGGTTCAGGGCTTAAGCTCCAGGATCTAAGCCCTACGTGGACCCCAAAAGTATATGGAATACTAGCCTTTTACAGGTTTTGGGTCATGGTTTTACCAAGTTTTGAGGGGTCTGGGTAAACCGTAAACCTTTGAAATCCTTTGAGTGTGGTCGGTATTGATGCCCGCAGACTTCGCGATATCGAGTGTGGGCAGCTCAGAGCTCAGGGATTTAAGGTCGCGGGACTTCGGGTTTCAGGTTTAGGGGTTTCGGGTTTAAGGTGAATAAAGTTTTGGAGTTTAGGGTTTAAGGTTTGGGGGTTTAAAGTTTTGGGGTTTGGGGTTCTGTGTTGACTCTTTCTGGCGCCCTGCAGCTGCGTTTGGAGCGCATGTTGTCACCTTTTTGCCGTAGACTATCCCATAGGTATATTTGTAGCTCTTAAACAAATCCCTGCACCCCGTCCCCGGCCATGAAGCACAGACACCAGGGACTCTTCTATGCCCTTTTGGATGCCGACGGAAGTGCGCGGCCCCCAACTACCTTAGCTTCGAGGGCTTGGGGTAGAAGGTTGGGGATTAGTGATTAGGGTTTTCAAGCCTTGACCCTCAAACCTAGAAAGTTTAGAACATTGTAATAAAACGTAAGATCGAATTAGCACTGCTTGTACTACAAGGCTGTAGTACATGTGGCCGTCAGAGCAGATCAGGCAGTGTAAGATGTTGGTCGGAATGTTTAAGAATAGTTACTAATAGTACGCCCTGGGAGTCCCCAGTATGCCCTGGGAGTCCCCAGTATGCCCTGAGAGTCCCTAGTATGGTTAATATAATATGATTACCCCAAAACACTGCTCTGTAATCATCAAGGCCTCTGCATGAAACCACCAACATGAAGGGACGGCAAGTCGCCGCAGCTTTTGGAACCATTCCCATCACGAGAGATAGACGTAGGGTTCCTTTTAAGTGTTCCTTTAAATAGCTCTGTAAGGGTTCCTTTAAAGCGCTCTATGAGGGTTGGGAGTTTCCGAAAATTAGGGGTACCATAGAATCCGTAGAGTAGCGTTTACGGTTTAGGGTTTTAGAGATGTTCTTGTGGTGGCTCGAGTCCCAAGGGACTGGATGGTAGGGTTTAGGGTTTTAGGGTGTTCGGTCCTTGTGTGGAAAAGCTTTACCCTTGTATTCCGGCGGCTCCCATGAATGTTTGGGCGGTCACGGCACAACTCCCTCGAGGGCACTGTATTCCGTTCCGCTCCATGATGAGAACTCTCAAGCTCAGGCTCGACCACCCCTAGCCTGAGCCTGTGACTTGCATTGGGCCGTTGTCCTTTTGGGGCTTTGAGAATTACCTATACTATTTTGGGTGGTTCCCGTTATAATTATGGTATAATGGGCCCCAAAACCCTATTCTAGTTGTTAAGGCCCCTATATTACCAACTTCTTCCGCAAACTACGAAGAATTGCAGGATTACAGCTACAGCCAACTGCAAAATGCTACCCTTATACTTGCAACTGGGATTAGGGTTTATAGGCTTCTCTAATTTTCTCAGTGGGTCGATTGAAAATACCCCGTTATAGTCCTGACAAAAGTTGCACACCCAAACCCTGCGCTTCGCTATGAAGCCCCTGACTCTGAAAGACCGCGCCAAAGAATCCATATCGAGGGTTTTGAGGAACTCTGACAGAAAACCCTACAGACACCTTATAGAGCCCTTTAAAGGACCCCGAATGAATCCTCAGAGCACCCAACTTTTTGGGAGTGCGAGGTCGTCCTTTACGAGCTTCAGCCCGCTATTCTCCAGGCGCCACCAGGCGGAAATCCGTAGAATCAGGAGCCGATTCCAGGGCTCCTTTAAAGGAATTGGAAAAGGTGTTTGGGGTTGTGGATTTAGGGCTTAGACCCCAAAGGGGTAGACTTTGGAGGACTTGGTACACAAGGTTTAGGGTTCAGATTTGAGAAGGGACCAAGAAACACAGTACTCAACAAAAACAGGCCCCATAGCAGGCCGCTCTCAGAAGGGAGTGTCCTGGGGCCTGCATTTTTGCACTCTAGCTATTTTGGCATAGAATATGATAATCCTTGTGGGGATCTCTAAGGTTTAGGGGAGCTGGGTTCATCGTAACAGGGCAAGCGCACTTTTCTCACAGGTGCGACCAAGCGCTTGCAAAAAGCTCACCCTAACACCGAGACCTAGACCCTAAGGGCTTTGCAGCGAAGCTCCAAGCTCTAACCCTAAAACCCCGAAATCTTAACATCTGACAAATCCAACGCTGTGCTAGGCCACGCGGTTTATACAACGGCAGTCTCAGGGCTTAGGGTTAATCGGGTTTTGGGGTTTGTAGCCGCAGATTTCTGAAACCCCTATGGAAAGCCCTGAGCCCCAAAACCCCTGAGCCCAAGAATGCCGCTGTCTCAAGGCCCGAGTCTGTTTGGGACTTTCAGGGTTTAGGGTCGACTGACTCTGTTCAGGAGCAACTAGCCTCGGGCCTAGGGGCCGTAGAGCCTCTTTGTGTCCCCGACCCCACAAACCCAAACCTACCTTCGCCTCATGTAAAGCCACCTAGCAAGCCCATCACCAGCTCGAATCCTCTTTGGAATAGGGTTTATGGGTTTATGGGTTTAGGGTTTAGGGTTTATGGGTTTAAGGTTTAGGGTTTAGGGTTTAGGGTGGAGCCCAAAACCGCCCGAAAACGGGGGCGCCATGCCGGACGCTCCGGCACAGATTGTGGGACACCCAGGCCCACCGAGCCCCAGGCACGTACAGGGTTTTACGGAGTGTGCTTGTTCTAGGGGTCATATGATCTCAAGGGTCACGGGACTTAGCAAGTAGGGTTGCAAGTTGGGATTGCTGTACTTGCAGCTCTTGTTTTCGAGAATGCTTACTTGCCAACATGCTCAGCGAAGTATGAGAGGGTATTCATGAGGCAACCTCGCTGCAGCAGCTGAGAGTCAGAAACGGAATTGGAATGAGAAGGTTCGCGGGCTTCTGTGGTCTATGACTATAGGGCCGCCAAAAAAGGAAAAGCACAGGAGCCGGAGACTCTTGTCGTAGTAGCAGCAGCAGCAGCAGCAGCAGCAGTAGCAGTCGCAGTCGCAGTCGCAGTCGCAGTCGCAGTCGCAGTCGCAGTGGCAGTGGCAGTGGCAGTGGCAGTAGCAGTCGCAGTCGCAGTGGCAGTGGCAGTGGCAGTGGCAGTGGCAGTAGCAGGAGCAGGAGCAGGAGCAGTCGCAGTGGCAGTGGCAGTAGCAGTAGCAGTCGCAGTCGCAGTCGCAGTCGCAGTGGCAGTGGCAGTAGCAGTGGCGCTGGCAGTAGCAGTAGCAGTAGGAGTAGTAGTAGTAGTAGTAGTAGTAGTAGTAGTAGTAGTAGTAGTAGTAGCAGTAGCAGTAGTAGTAGTAGTAGTAGTAGTAGTAGTAGTAGTAGTAGTAGTAGTAGTAGTAGCATTTTCAGTAGCAGTAGCGTTAGCAGTAGCAGTAGCAGTAGTAGTAGGAGGAGGAGTAGTAGGAGGAGTAGTAGTAGCAGTAGTAGCGGCAGTGGGTGTAGCAGGTGTAGTAGGTGAAGTAGGCGTAGCAGGAGGAATCGGAGGAGGGGGAGGAAATAGTTGTAAGACGCGCGCAAAGGAGCGGCTCCCCTGTCGGCTCCCCTGTCGAGTACGACCAAGATCTTTGGCACAATTTTGACAGCTTTCCGAGCCGAGCCTTTAGCCTCCTGTGTCAAGTGATAGTAAAAAGTAGTAGTCGGACTAAGCATTAAAATTATTCCTTAGGGTTCCTTTATGTATTAACGGCGTACTAGAGGCCCCCAGGAGTACAATTTACCTTTTCACGTTGGGGTCTCCTTCTTGTAACCGAAGAGGAGGGAAAAAGGTAGCCTTATTATTCAGGGGTTGCTGGGAAACTTACGGATATAGGAGACGGAAAAAGTACTAACATTAACTTTTCGAGTTCCTTCTAATAAATACAGTAAGACATACCCTGGAGCCCTACTCATATTGTTGAGGCCCCCAAATCAATGTGTTTTTGATTGGCATCTCAAAGGGAAGAAGTAAGGAGTGGGAGGAGCTTTACAGCAGCTTAATCTCTGAGATGCTCCCCACCCGCGACGAGATTTTGCGAGCGACGCCAGCCGGTGAGGTGCTGAAGTGTTTGGGAAGCCCTCTTCGGCTAGACGAAGGGGAGTACTATCACAAAAGTCGCCCGAGCACTCGGATTTCATCCTTTTACTCGCATAGTTGGCACGGGCCGGTTTGGGCAAAGATTCTGACACTCATGCTGTTGAACAATGGTACCGCCGCGGTGCTGCTGAGCTCGGCATCTGTTCTGTTAGTAGGTTTACTCTATGGCCTTGGAGCCTTGCCGCCGTTCTCACTTGGCTGGGGGTGCGTCGTTGGGGCCTTGGTCTACTATTTTGTCTTGGCCTTCTGGCACAGACGACACCTCGTCTTCGTCGACAGAATTTGCATCTCCCAGTCGGATGAGCAACTGAAAGGCCAAGCCCTTATCAACCCTGCAAGACCTATAAGTTGTATTAACTCGATAAACCTTGCACGCCCTAAAGCCTTCAGCTCTCTAAACCAAACCCTAAAAAGCCCTATTAAACCCAACATCTAAGTCCTGTCAACCCTAAGCCATCGCATGAGCAGCTGAAAGGCGAAGCGCTCATCAGCTTGGGCGCCTTCCTAAAATGCTCGGACTCTTGGCCTTTTTTCCTGTTTTCTCTGGTCTTAGCAAGGGTTGGCGTTACGGAGATTTTTAAAGGGTTTTGTAGGATTTGATAAGGGTTCCATAAGGTTCTATCAGGATCCCAAGATGCTCCTTACAGAACTGTCTTCAAACCCAAACACTAAGCCCAATGCGATAAAGGAAGCCCGTTTGATTCCTAGGTCACTGGGGATGCCAGCCTATTAAAATCACTTACAACACCCCGATGAAACCCTACATAGCCGATACTCGAACCTTGCGCCCTTATGGAACCCTTAACGAAATCCTACAAAAACTCGTTAACAATATCTGTAACACCATCCCTGTCTTGGGATCCTAGGACTCCTTATGCAACCCTTTTAAATCTTACACAACCCTTGTAAAGGTCGATTTGCTCAACCCTTTCTTGGGATCCGATCAAAGGACTCCATGCTAGTTCTCTGGGATCCGAGCTACGTGGGCCGCTTGTGGTGCCTGGGCCGTGGGTTTTGCGGGGTTTAGTGGCTTAGGGGTTTATAGGGGGTTTATAGGGGTTTTGGGTGTAGGGATGCGTCATTCTGGCTTCGAGATGTGGCATCATTGTCGCTAGTTGGACACTCTGTTACATACTATTGTCGTTACTATTGTTGTTGAGAGCAGCCAAGGTGCATCTTCGAACTCGCAGGGTTCCTACATAGTCGCCAGAGAGGCATGAAGCCCCAGCTGATGATCCGGCCCACTGCTCCTAGGTTCACAAGGACCCCTCATAGGGGGAGGGGGGTAGGGGGCCTTAATACGTACAATAAGGACTTAATATAATTAAAGGAAGTATAGTCCCCTACCCCCGTCCCCCCCGTCCCCCTAACGATCCCTGTGATAGGTTCGCCAGTGGCACCCTCTTGCCCTTTTTCGTTTGGGGTTCCCTTACTATTCAAACCAAATAGTTCGGCAAGTGTTCCTTTGTCGTCGTCGGGTAACGCTTTGTTTTTTTGGTATATGGATTCTTAAGCCCAAGACATTTAGGTTTTTCATGCTATCCCAACCATGGACAAGGTTCTGGGCCCTGCAGTGCACCTCATCCTCGCACAGCTCAACATTACCAATTTTGCAGCTTCTGTGTTTTTCGACCTGGTAGGAGCTGGAATGGAGTTCTGGCTGGGCCATTTTGTGGGGGCCACCGCTGTGATGCTCGTTGTCATTCACATCGGATGCTTCGTAGCACATAAGTGCGTAGCCTTTAAAAATGTTGTGGCACTTTAACCCTCAATGAAATCCCAAGATAAACCGCTAGATTCCGATGGAAGCTTGACTTCTGTAAGGACGGGGATATTGCAGGCAAGTCGCGAAGGTTCACGACGAGATAACCGTCTTCAGCCTGGGCAACTTGAAAAGTTTCTGCTGCTCCGTGGACCACCGTGACCCAATGACAGGAGAGAACATGCCCTGCGACCGAAAGATCATCATCGACTCGGGGTTCCTCCGTGGTATACATTTTGAGTCTTTTGTAGTTTTCTGGGTGCATAGATAGAATTCTACGAAAACTGGTCCAAAAAGCATTTAGGAGTGCATTTGCACGTGGTTTGGCTCCGTCCAGAACTTCGAGCACCGAGTCCGTTCGGAGGTGGGGGTTTCGAAACCGCAGTACAATAAGGGGGCCTCACTAATTACCATTACCGATACTGTCTTGAGGGTTCCTTATTTCAACCATGGGCCCCAAAACCCTATTCTAATTATCAAGGCCCCTATAATAGGGTTGTTCGGAGGTATAGGGCTCAAGGTTTAGGATCAGAACATCGACCCTGAACAGTAGGATTCTTGTGGGTTTTCGGGTTCAAGGTTTCGGTCTCCAGGAACCTTGATACAGCCGTACCTGAACCCTAAAACTGCGGTATCCCCCCAATTTCAAGACACCCCCAGGTCTTGCAGAACCTCATCGACCAGCTCTCCAATGAGGTCTGCAAGCTTTAGGAAGCTTTAGGGTTTAGGGTTTTAGGGTTTAGGGTTTTAGGGCTTTAGGGTTTAGGGTTTTTGGGGTTTAGGGTTTTAGGGTTTTAGGGTTTAGGGTTGAGGGTCACAGGTTCTTCAGCCGTCAGCTATTTGCTGCACAAAGAGCTCGGGCGACATTGATGCCCTGCATTCCAAATCCAACCGAGCCGGAACAGAAACCCTAAACCATGAATACCCAAAGCTCGGTAAACCCTTCCTGCGACCCCAAACCCTCCAAAAGGGTTTAGGGTTTAGGGTTTAGTAGGTTCTGACCCCTTAACTAGAAGGTCGAACCCTTAAAACGGTAGGGTTGTTGGATCCCCAGGTTAGCCCATCAACCCCCGCCCATGGACCCAGAAACCGCAGACGTAGACACAACACGCTAAATGCCACATCCTAGTCTAAACCTGGACCCCACAAGTATGTAGAATAATAGCCCTTTATAGGTTTTGGGCCGTTATTTTACCTACCTTTGGAGGTTTGGGTAGTTAATTAGTCTGAAACCGGAAGCTGAAAACCCACAGAAACGCCCGAGACGCATAAGCCCAACACCCATGCGTGTCGTTCCTGCCGGGAGGTGTTTTCGTTCTGGCAAGCGGCTGTTCTCACCGCGCCTGTTGTTTCTCGTCGCATGCTGCAGCAACCTGTTGGTTCGCAGTGATGTTTTGAGTGGGGTCTGGACCTAAGGTCCCGAACTGTTCACCTGAGTCCCAAGCCCCCACCCTCCTTCTCCAAAAACCCCAGTTTAACCTGGAGCCCTACAACCGCAGCACCCTAAGATTTTCAATCCAGCGCTATCACCCAAGGCCCAAACCAGCCGCGAAGCCCAAACCCTCGAGCTATAGTCTCCTGAGAAATTATTTTTTGTTTTGTTCATACAAAACCCAAGAGAATCTTAAAATCTTATTTTTTGCTTTAAGGGGGGTATAGTAAGCCTCAGCCCTAATCCCGAAGCCCCAGCAGCCGAGGCCTCAGACCCTGAATTTCATGCCCCAAACCAGTTTGAGGGTTGGGGTTTAGGGCTTTAGGGTTTTAGGAATCTCTGTGGATCTAGAAGGGTTTTGCGGGTTTACGGTATAGGGGTCTGGATAATTGCCGGTACGATTCCCGAGGGTTCCTTAATGCAACTGCACTCTACTCCTCCCAAACCCCTAGTAACCTGGACCCTTATACCTCCTATATGGTTAGTTCTCTAAACTAGGGTCCCTTTTCATTTTAGGTCCCCAAAGTAATACGGCACCCTTTTAAAACGGACCCTACAAGGGAGGTTAGCTTTAGAGAGCTACCCACATCAAGTGCTTCGGCTCCTTGTTAAAATTACAGAAAACCAGAAGCCCCAAACCCATATTCTGATTGTTAAGGCCCCAGTCTCCCCCCCCTCCAGTTTTGGCGATATACCGACTTGGCCTTTCAGTGGATGCTCGTCGGCGACGCCTCCCGTACGGTGCCTTGGCAGGCTCTAGGTTCGGGGTTTAAGGTTTAGTGTTCAGAGTGTTCTTGGTGTGTATGGTCCAGGGTGCCGAAGTGTGGAGCAACATAGATCGGTTTCGCGTGTTCGCGAACTGAAAGGCACGTGCATGCCGAGGCACTAGATAGCTGAGGTGCACAACTTTATGCGTGGCTTCACATACTGGCTTGCGATGTCATCAACCTTAGTCTTGCTGCTGGAAGGCTATAAGTACATTTTTCTTGTCATGCTTGGCGTCTGCTTCGATAGAGTAGGAAATACCCGACCATCCTGCAACACTTGGCTAGCACCACGGTATAGGGTTTAGGGTTTAGTTTTTAGGGTTTAGGGTTTAGTTTTTAGGGTTTAGGGACAGTAAAGGATCTACATCCGAATGGCCTACTGGACACGACGGAAACGATCTTGTCTTCTTCTAGATCTCCTCACATCGTACCTCGTGGTCCTGGTCGGTGCGGCTTACTTCTTCTCTCACGCGGCCTTTGATATCTTTCTCTTCGAAGTAGCTTTTCCTGAGATGCGCATCGTGGCGGGGTTGGCGTTTGCAATACCAGCTTTCAGCATAGCGTTGCTGGTGTGGCGGACAATACCCAAGATCCCTGTCCACTCGTCAAAGGAAACGACGAGCTGATTTTAGTTCCCAGACGGAGGAAGATCCCGTGACTGTCATTCATACAGTTAATGCATGGTTTAAGTTTAGGGCTTTGGGATCTTAAATCAAGGTTTCAGAGGTTTAGGGTTCATTGCCAGGGGTTTAGAGGGGTCTATTCCTGTCTTCGCGAGTTTTTAGATCTCTCCTTTCTTGCAGTTGACTCTGCGAACAGCAGCCTTGCAGCCAAATGTAGGGGCCTGAACAGCTGAAGCTATATCTCCTTTATTGCCCTAGAGTACCCTCATAGTCCTTTCAAAACTGTTTCAGTGGCAGTAGAACATGAAAGAAATGTTTCCGAATACTGCCCCATCAACATGTACTATCATGGCCGTCTCCACGACCCCAGTCGAATAATTTAACATTATTCGATCTAACAAGCTTAAAGCTTCAAACCCTGTAGACCCCTTATGGAACAACTTGAACATCCATAAGGTTGAGACCTGGATTCTAAGGATTCCAGCCCCTCGAGTCAAGTTTTAAAGGTTGCAGCTAGGGCTCGAGAGGAGCCCTCCCCGCCAGAGGGTGCGCCGTAAGTCGCGCGTTCTGAAACCCAAGACGTCTTGAGCCACTGCCTTGGGCTCCATGCGGTGGCCTTGATCAAAAGTCAGGAGGTTTTGAGAATCAAGGGCATTCTACCTTAAATTCTATCGGTTTCTGTCAGGGTGCTACAGGTGGTCCTGTAGCTTTAAGGGTATTCGAGGATTTTTATACTGGGTTTGTTTAAATTATTTGGAGGATCATGGGACTTACTAGCTAATGAGCTAACTTTTGATATAATCTGCATGTAGCCCCAGCTACAGTAAGGTATTGATATCCTGACTTACAACGTCCCCTGTTCCTGCAACTGGGATGGGCTAACCTGTGTGATTAGCAGCTATCCCCAGGGTTTGTTATCATTATGCCGCAAGACACCTTCCTTAGGGTGAAGATGATCGTTTGTTGTACGGACATGGAGCACGACAGCAACAGCATAAACGATGTAAGCAAGGTGGGGCCACCTCCTAAGTCCCAAGTGGCCAATTGCAATCAGATCGGCAGCCACACTGCGCACCAAACTCCCGTAAGAGCACCCAAACCCAGCCTAAGCCCCCCCAAACCCTACTTGAAGGTCCATGGGCAGTTAGAAGTCGGGTTATAACTCCCCTAATAGGAGTTAGAACTATACTTATCCCACTTATAATTCCACATAAAATTTTCCATGAACCTCCAAGTAAACAGGGTTTTGGGTCCGAAGTCGCCAGAACTGTATTATTCAGAGTTTCGATCTTTACCGGCATGGGTTTTCAAAAATTCCCCACCAACGTTGAACACCCCAAACCCAAAACCTGACGGACTGCAAACCCTCAACCGCTAACTATCCCTAAACCCTATTTCCTATTTCTAAATCTCTCAGTCCTTAGCCCCAACCTCTCGCAAAGCGCGAGACCCGAAACCCTGACCCCCAGAAGCTCTTCAAGCTCCAAAACATAGGTCAGACGAACGGGTAATGTAGGAATCTGATTAAGAAATTTTGGGCTCCTTTAAAGGGGTCTATAAGGGTTACTATAAGGGATCTATAATGGTACTAGTATAATGTAGGAATCTGATTAAGAAACCTTGGGCCTTTATTTGGGTTCCTTGTATGAATCCTGCTATTTGGGGGCTATAGCAGGGTTTCTTAATCAGGTTCCTACAGTAATCTCATCCCTTTCCAGTCCCAATAAATACTCATACTTCAGTATACCTTCCCATACCTTGTTCTAAGCAGTAAGGTCCGTACATGCTGAAGGTTGCTACAGTATACCTCCAAACCTACTAGTCCCTGAATGAATAGACAGAATTTTCCCGTTTATTCCACAAAGCACTTTGCCATCATACGACAATCTACCCCCAAGCCTACGTGGCCCTGCGTCACAGAGCGACGACCGCTGCATGAGCCAGCCTACGTCGAGCCGCGCCTCACAGTGAGCTGTTCAAGGGCTTGGGTTGCTCTCAGGATTCCTTCAAGGATTCCTTTAGGGTTGAGGGCTTGAGGGTTTTCCGGCTTAAGGAATCAGGGTTCTAGGTTTAGGGAGTGAGGTTTTGTTGGGGCTTTGAAAAAGGCTTGGGTACAGGGCTTCAGGAACAGCACCGTCTATGTAAGTAGTTGGGTTTTTTGGGGGGCGGTTTACGGGAGTGCGGACGGGGAGGGGGCGGGGGATGCAGCAAAACTTTTTTGTCATTGCTTCATTGGAACCCCATGAGGCCGGAGATCTTGACGTCCATGGCCAAACAAGCATTCGAGGACAGGGGTATGCAGAAGTGTGTAGGTTTTTTGGGGTTTAGGGTTTAGGGTAAAGTCGGGTAGAGTATGCATAAGTGGCGAATATGTTATTTCTCACCGCTGCCCATGTTCACTGCTATGCCCAAAATTCCAAGTCAGTCGCCACACTCCTCCCTGTCATCATGACCACCATCAGCCGGCCATCTTCACCAGCATCATCACTTCACTAAACTAGACGATCAGCATGTTCGTCATCACCACAAACATCACCTATAGAAGAACGAGGTTTACCAACAATTGAAGATAATCGAGTCCTTCTCACTGTCGTTGGCATGGACATGAGTAAACACCTAAGAGTGAGTGCGATTGCTCCTGCAAGAGCGGCCCACGTCATTACAAGATGGGCATGGATAGATCGGCTAAATCGAAAGATGGAGGGATAGCCCTGACGATTCAAGGACCTTTTCGCGACTCTGAAATGTTTCGAATTCGAATTCAGAGGTGTTGTTGCATTGCCTCCGGAAGCCTGAACCCATATGCCTGCATCATGGCCCAAAGAAATTCTGGGTCCTACGCCTTTTTCCACAGTCTGCTCTAACCGCCTTCCCCTTGACCAACGAGCAAAATTGCAAGTCCTGCCGAAAGAGACAGGAGAGGGACACGAAGGAGGGCAAGAAACCGAAAGGCAGGAAGAGGCCGGGTTGAGAGGGTTTTCAGTGGTTTGCAGGGTTGTTGCTTTAGTAGGGCCCTTCTGGGTTTCACGGCTTTTTCTAGTGTTCCCAGGTTTCAAGTTTCAGGATAGCGGTCAAGGTTGCGGAGCTCAAACCCATTGACTCCCAATGAGATGAGGGTTCTCCTTCATAGTCAGATGAGTCTTGTAGTGCTGGCTGCGGGCATTCCATGTTTGACGCGCATCAAATGCCCAGAAAATCCCAAATCCGAAATTCAGGGATACACCTTCAATTGTAGAGGGAGCCTTCGTATTTCAGGTGGAGTCCTCAAGTAATGGTCTGAGTTGAGCACGTAAGGACGTGCATCAAAGACCCAAAGACTCCACACCCCGAAATTGAGGCATACAGTTGCAATTACAGAGGGAGCCTTCATATGACTTGAAGCACAGTCCTCAGTTTAGTCGGCTGAGTTAAGCATGCCAGGAAGAAGGAGGAGGCGAAGTCTTGATCCAGCTGGTGATACAAGCAGGAGGAGCTCGTCATCGTGCGCAAGGCGGAGGATCGGGGCCCGAAGTCGAATAATAGTCCTCATAATTTTATGAAGCATAAGCCTCGCAATTCGCAACCCAAAACCCCTATATAACCCTAAAGCGAAACCCTAATCCCTATAGACACCTGCAGGCACAGTACATCCTGTGCTGCCCCAGCAATGCCCAGATGGTCTGCGCCTCAAAACTGCGTGCCGAAGAAGCAAAGCCACAGAGGACAAGGCGGTCGAGGGTAAAGGGTATAGTTTAGCAGGGTTTAGGTGCAGGGTGTGTATATGTATATATATATATATATATACAGAGTTCGCGGTGTAGGGGCATAGGGTTTTGGGTTTGATCCCTGAGCTAGGGGCTCGCTTCGATCGCGCAACGTTCGCAGATTGCTAGGGAGTCAGCCTGAAGCCGGCACTGTTCCTGTGGAGAGAGTCAGCCGACTGCAGAACGCTATCGAACCCTTGGGGTTTAGGGTTTAGGGTTTAGGGTTCAGGGTTTAAACTTTAAAGGTACGTCTAAAAGAGTACGGTAGTCACTAAGATCTTCCTTGTTGCTCAGGTGCTGTTCGTTGTGCTCTTCAGAAGCGCAGCAGCCCTGGAGTTCTACAAGTGCTCCCACCACAGAGAGAGATCCCTTTAGGTCCCCCCAGACCACTAAAGCCGAGACTCCGAAACCTTCGTAGGTTGTAGGGTTTAGGGGTCTTCCTGGATTCATTAGGAGTGGTTCGTCAAGGTCTCGCAGGGTGCAGCCCCAGACTTGAGAGTGGCTGGGGGAATGCTTCAGAGCGGCTACAGGCTGTTGCCGCTGGGCGGGTGGTGTCGGGAAGGCAATCCGGAAAGAATCTGAAATGTAAGAAGACTGCACACCTCTGGGGTGATACCTTTCTGTGTGGCAGCGATTGTACAAAGACTTTTCCTTTGGCAGCTGACTGCATGTGCTTCCATCGACGTCCGCTGCTTTGCTGTCTAGGCTCACGGGGGGAATGTGGGGAATACTAGTTCAATGCCGTTCATGGAACAGCTACAAGTTGTTTTGTGCGGTAGCTTTGGGAGTACAGGTTGTTCGAGTGTGCTGATCAGAACGAGACGCTGGTTGCAAGAAGCCCCTTAAGGAAGATCTTTGGAAGTTGGGTCCCGTTCAAAGTACTTGCTGCATAAAACTACTGCACTCGGTACCTGAAAGAAAATCTCGTTTCAGAATTTAAAGAGCATCTCCCATGTAGCAGATCCGGTCTGCATCAGTGCAGACGCGCTATGCGCCATCTGAAAGATTCTGCGCGGTAGCGCGCCGACGCTGGCAGCGAGATGAGCGAAACTGTGGCCACACCGCTGCAGCTGTCTGGCCATCTGTCGCAAGTGCCCAGGCTATGGCTGTTGTTTAGGCTTTAGGATTCAGGGTTTGAGGGTTTTAGGGTTTAGGGGTTGAGTTTAGGGGTTTAGGGTTTTATAAAAGTTACCAATTATGTGTATTTCTTAGTATAGTGCTTGGGGCCGGGCTTGCTTTATTTTGCATTCGTCATCGTTGTTGAATTCCAACTGATGCGTGCTTGTAGCAGCTTGAACTTCAGGCTAAGCCTGCGGTTGATTTCAGAATCGTTCGCAGCACTTCTGCGTTACAGACCGGTAAATACATTGCCGAAGCCTAGAACGCAGTGGACCCAGTGAAGCCTGGAAAGCTCGTCATTTTTTTCAAAGCCGTTGTGGTTTAGGGTAAGGGTTGCGGCTTCGGTGAACACTTTTCCGGGTCAGTTGGGCATTTGTCAAGACAGGGGCTAGCTTGGCTTCAGTCTTAGCGTTGTTTCTGCTGTGACTCCTCTGCCTTAAAGTTCGTGGTGTGTCCGTGCTTATCTCAGCATGTTGTCACCCGCGAGGAGCTTGAGCACCAGCCGCAAGCTTAGGCTTGAGGCTTCGGGGATCTACGGTTTAGCGTTGAGGGATGAAGTTTTCGGAGACTTGAAAAGGTGGGATAAAGCTGAGTAATTAGGATTAAAGAATCCTTACATAGACTCCTATATTGGATTACCCCACCTCGGTTCCTCCTACCCCTGTAGCCCCTTGGGGTTACAGCCCAACAGACACCAAAGCCGTTGACCACCTGAGGCTAAGGAGAAGGGCAGGACAAGGATACCTTGCTGAGCAACCGGCCCCACTGCGTAAACATCCAACTACAACCCATTCACTGTCATTACGATTGTGGAACCTTCAAACACGGAAAACCCTGCTACACCACAAACCTTTTTGAAAACATGTAATATAGAATCCTGAACAATTCCAAATAAATATCATTCCTTGAGGTTCTTCTTTGTCTTCCATAATGCACCCAATTCATAGCATGAACGCCCATAAACCCTATAAACTCAAAACCCAAATCGATTAGAGATCCTTTGTCTAGGTTTCCCAGTAGTTCAGTGATGAGCATGCGCACGGATCGTGGGGGTCGGGGTCGTGCTCCCCGTAACTCTCGTCGCCGTTAATCTCGGAGCCTCTTGGGCCATCCATGCTTCCAATAAAACAGACGCATCATGCCATTTGCACTAAGGGACAGCTATGCAGAGTATTTTGTGTGTAAATGCAAGGGGTCTGTGCCCTCCCCACACCTGCGAAGATGAGTCCGCAGCATGTTTTAGAAATTGGTTCGTTTTATTTTTATTTTTGTTTGCATGGTTTTTTGCATGGCAATCGACTTCCGCGGAGTCATGCGCATAAAGCAACACACGCTCATATTGACATATCCGTACATGTGTTTAAAGAAACATGCTGTGTCGATATGGCAAGACCACTTGAACAATGTTTTTTGATTGCACACATGTCCATCACGCACACAACAACTGTGTTTCTGCGTATGTGCACGATATAAAGACTGGTTCGTTGCTTGTGTTCAAGCAAAGGCCGACATGACCACGGCCAACAAAAAAGCGGCACAAGCCTGGTGCGTTTTTCCCACAACGAGTTGTGTCCCCATAAATTTGGATGTGTGTTGTGCCAGGTGTCCGAGTGCCTTGCGAGCCTCGATCTGCAATTTGGAGGCTACCAAAAAGAAAAGGCCCAAGTGCCTGAGCATCAGCGACAGCAATGGTACAGACGAACTACAGTGGAAGTTGTACATGGAATATGGAGCAATCGAGCTGCTAGGCCCAAGTGCCTGAGCAAAGAGCACAATGGTGATCAATAGGGCATGCTCGATCGACGTACGATCTGCTTGGCCCAAGTGCCTGAGCAACAAGCAACAATGGCACATGCTGGATCGACGTACAAGCAGCTTTCTGGTGAGTTTCAGAATTCTTGGTACCCATTTGTGATGGACACAACCGGATCCACATTCGCAGCTCAAACTTCTGAGCTTTCTGAGTCTATTCGCAAGCCTGCCCTGCATTCTTGCAAGTTCACTCAAGCGCAGCGACCAGGCTTCGGCACCTTTCAACGATCAGCCTTTCATGTCAACAGCTGAAATTTGAACACGTGAAAATCCTCGGGAAGCTGTGTCGTGGCAACAGCTCTTGATTTGTCAGCTAAGGAACTGAAACGCGGAAAAAGATCCCACTGAGGCTGGATCCGGCCGGCTCGCGTTGCGGGAATCAGAAGTCGACATGCGTTTGTATGTTGGGGTTCTGTGAGTGTACAAGAGGAGTTTCGGACATATTCGTCAGGGTATGTGCTGCGCGTTCTCATGGACCACTACTACTGCTTGAAAACCTTGATTCACGCATTTTGCAAAAACATCTTATATAGGTGAGTCCAGGAAACTTTGAAGCCATCAACGCTTAACCATACTAGCCCGAAGCTTTTCAGCCGATTGCAGATTTGTGAGCTATGGAAAAGCTTCGCGGAACAAGATCCAACCCCTGAGGCTGGATCCGATGGTTAAGATCTTGATAGCAGAACGGCTCCTATCACAAGTCGGATAGCGCATGGCATTTGTTCACATAATGCTGGGGCTTGGGTGAGATCTGCCTGGGAATCTCTCCTATCCTCCGCTGGCCCTTGCTTTGGCCTGTGCCCTGTGGTCCTGACCCTGGCCCTTGCCCCATGCCCTTCGCCCAATTCTGACCCTGGTCCTCGTGTGGCGCTGGCTATGGCCCTGCCGTGCCTTTCCTACGCCTGCTTTTCCTGTCCCTGCATTGCCTTGCTCCCCTGGTCCTCGGTTTGGCCCTGGCTCTGGCCCTGATTTTCCTGGCCTGCCTTGCTTGGTCTTGCCTGGTCTTGATGCTGGCCTTCTGCCACCATGCCCCTGGCCCTGGCCCTCAACCCCCCATCAAAAACCCAAAGCCCTGAGCCCTAAAAAACCCCAAGCCCTAAACCTCAAGGCCGCTACAGCCTAAAACGCCCTGAGCCCTAAACCCTAAGGCCGGAAGCCCTAAACCCTAAAACCCCTAAGCCCCCAAAAACCCTAAGCCGTAAACCCTATCCCCTACAGAAGGACGCCTATTGAGGATTACCCCACCTGTCTTCATCCTACCCCTGCGGGTTTCAGCGTGTAGGGTTTCGGAGGGTTCATGGACGAGGGTCCGAGGCGTATAAGTTGATGTTGGAGCGGGGTCTAGACTGGAGGCTTAAAGCTTTTGAAGGCGGGGCTCATTGACCAGATTGCCCGAACCAGCGCCGTAAGGCCATTGAAGACCTATAGAATCGTAGACAGCCTCAACGAAAATTGAAAGCCTCATGCAACAAAAAAGGACAAACCACAATAAAATCCGTCAGCCCTACAGGCCTAAACCCCGTCAACCCAACCCTGCAACCCTAGCTTGTGAAAGCGCTATAACCACGGCACCAAGCCCCAAAAACCCACGGCTTGTCATACTCCCACCCATTTCCACACCTTCACCAACCGAGAAAAGGCAGAGGGCCTTCGACTGTTGGGCGCGCTCAGCGTGTTTAACTCCATGGCCACTGCTGTTTTGCAGCAGCCTGGTCCTCCTCCTCAGGTGCCTTGGTCTCGGATCTTAAGAAAAGGGTTCCTTCAGGGTTCTATACGGTTGCAAAATGGGGCTCCTTCAACGGATCTACAGGGGTTCTATAGGGGCATCTTGGTAGCCAAGTAGGTAACCTTTGACCTTTTGGGGTGCAAAAAGTCCTACCATAATTGGAAAGGTTAATTTTTTTTGGGCTAGGGTGCTCAGCCACTAAATAGTAGTCATAGCAATAGCTGTAGTAATGGTCCTGACAATGGTACTAGTACTGGGACTGGTACTAGTTGTTCGTACTAATACTAGAAGTATAGTGATTAATAGGAAAAGCTATAGCAAGTATTGCAATAGTTTCACCGATAGCAATGTTAGTTTAACATTCATGGTACAGGTACTAGAATTAGTGAGGTTTGGGCAGCCCCGTTTACGGTTCTACGAAGGCTCTGCAAGGGTATTATGGGAGTACCTGTAGCCGAAAGGCCTACCCCTTTAAGGAACTTTTTATACAAACCATAATCAGGAACTCCAAAAAGATAGGTCTTTTCAGTACAGGTAGGGGTTGTGCAGGGTTGTAGAAGGAAGTCTCAGGTTCTGGGCTTGGGAACCAGGGTTTCAGGTTCAGGGTAAAATAGGGTCGTTTAGGGTTTAGAGTTCTAAGTAAGGTTCTTGGTTTAAAATGGGTTCAGGAGGTTTTTGGAGTTGTTCTACAGGGTTTCTTAGCTTTGACATTTTGGAGAAGAAGCTCTGGTTGTTGAACGGTTTGGCGGGCGGTCTGGAGTTTAGGTGTTTGGGGTTTAGGGTTTAGGAGGGTCTTGGGTTTAAGTCAACGGGGTTCAGGAAGTTTGCCGAAGTCATCACAGCTCCTCATACTCGAAACCTATAAACCCTGAACTCGAAACTCTAAACCCTAAACCCTAAACCCTAACTCAGCTCTACGGTCGGAGCTCTTGGCTTCAATTTCGGGATCCGCAGCTTTGGGCAAACGCTGAACCCTGAACCCCACACTCTTTTACTGTGGGGAGTAGTTTTTAGGGGTATAGTAAAAGGGCCGCTATAATTACCAATACTATCTTGGTGGTTCCTTATTGTAACTATATGGCATAATACACCTCAAAAACCTGAATCTAATTATTAAAGCCCCTACATTCTAGCATCCTTAAAGATCCCTTATAGTAGCTCCTATGGTAGCCCCTATAGACGCCTTTAATGGAACCCCGTTCTAAGTATGAAGGCCCCTACATTACCCCCCGAGTGTGAAGCCTCTAACCCGTCGAAGGGAACTGGGCTGCTGCGGGTGCTTCGGGGTGCCCTGGATCGTGCCATGGAGACTCCAGTGCCATGCAGCTCAGGGGAAGGCCCATCCGGGCTTCGGGTATAGGGTTTAGGGTCTAGGGTTTACTTGGAGGTTCATGGGTAGTTATAAGTGGAGTTATGAGCTGGATAATTATAAGTATAACTCCCATTAGGGGACTTATATCCCCACTTATAACTACCCATGAACCTCCAAGTAGGGTTTAGGCTACCGGGGTCTTTGAAGAGTTTGAGCGGTCTTTGCTACATTGGGGTTTAAGGAGCCTTCCGCACTCCAAGCACCATAATGGGGATCTATAGTTACCATAATAGGGTTCTATAGTTACCATAATAGGGTTCCATAGTTACCGTAATAGGGGTCTATAGTATCTAATATGGTTTCCTTATGATGGTAACTTACAACCCGAGTTTTCAAGCTAAGCCACACGGGCAGTTCCTGCGTTACCAGGCAAGGTTCTAGGCTTTCTAGGCCTAGGCTTCAAGTTACGGTTCCCCCAGGCACCTCCACAGCAGTTCGACCACCACTCAGCGAGACAGGATAGACAATAATTAGCAGGAAAAGGAGACCGAACAGGCACGAGGACAGGTAGGAGGACAACTAGCAGGTAAACCCTAAGCCTTTCACACGAACCCCGAAGCCCTTGAACCCCCCTAAACCCTTAGACCCAAACCCTCAAAAATCCTAAGCCCTTGTTCCCTCAAACCCATGCGGCCTGGGAGAGGCAAGTCCATGTCCCAGATGGTGCCGCCATCGCCAACGCCTTCCATTGCTAGACAGGTGTCCATCGAAGGAAGCCCGAAGACTCAGGACCTGTGCCCGGATGTTGGGAGAACGGTGCAAGTGCTTCGTAGGTTTTGAATTTTGTGGTTTTGGGGTACAGGTCGCCTATCACTGCGTTCTGGGGTATAGGTCACCTATCACTGCGTGTAGCTCCTCAACACCCTACACGTTACAAACTCTGAATATTCCACATTCATATAGACATCAAATGAGCCCCACAAATCCCAAATAGGATTCTTTTCGTTGTAAAGCGGAAGCCACAACAACTTCTTGGGTTCTAGGACTCTTATACCCTGAAAATGTGTCCCTAAACCTCAGGCCCGAATCCTCACAACAACCCCCCAAACCCCTTAAGACCCTTGAGGAAACCTTAAACACCCAAACCCTGTAAGCCCGGGAAGCCATATAAAACCAAAAGACAGACCTGAACCCCTTAGAAACCCTTGACAAAAACCTTCACAAAAGCCCCTATGCCCTTTTAGCCGTGAGTCACCGTTAACAGTCCGAAAAACCCTGCAAGAAGCCTGAACAACGGGCAACACGATTAGCAAACCCTCTAATTAATACCTCAGAGCCCTAAAAGCAACCCTTACTAGAGCAAGTAACCTTCATCCTTATTGGGTATTAGAACCCCTACTTGGAGTTTCATGGTAGTTATAAGTGGATTTATAAATAGCGTAACTATACTTATAACTCCCATTAGGGAACTTATAACCCCACTTACAACTTCCCGTGAACCTCCAAGTAGAGATTCCGAATAAACTCCCAAAAAAATGCCTGCATGTCGAGGAGCGTCGCATTTCCTACGAGGGTTTAGGGGTTTGGGAGTGTAGGGTTTAGGGAAACCCCAAACCCTAAACCCCTAAACGCCCGAATTTGGAGGAGCGCCGCATTTCCTACGAGGGTGAGCTCCGCTTCTGGAAGCGGCTCAGTGGGTTGCCGGGCCGGGTTTCATGGGTTTCTTGGGTTCGGCAAGGGCACACGGTTCAGGGTTTAGGGTTGAGGGTTACGGCTAGGATGTATACGGGCTTATAAGGGTTATGAGGGTTTAGGGCTGCAAGAATTTATTAGGTATGAGTTTAGGGCTGTGATGGTTTATAGCTGTAAGGGTTTAGAGGGTTTGAGTTTAGAGGCTAGGGTTTATACGGGTTTAAGGCGTTGGTTTTTTGTTGATGTTGTTTCGCTTTTGTCTGTGATTTGGTCCATGTAAGTTTGGTCCATTTAAGCTCCACGACTGAGCCGTACATCCTGAACCCCAAACTCCCGAAATAGAAACCGAGGCAGGGCGAGTACCAGGAAGGGTCACGGCTACGGCTGCTTCGACAGGATGCACTGACCAGGCTCTGCGCTAACACTTTCGGGTTTAGGGGTTGAGGGTTTGGAGTTTGGGGGCCCAGTAGTTTCGGGTTACGTAAGCCAACTTGTTGCCTCTGGTGCTGCGCGTGGTGGTTGTGGCTGTAGTGACGATGCTTGTTGCTGCCGTCGCCTCCATGGAGCTATGTTATATTAATGGTTAAATCTTTAACCCTGGCCCTGAACGGTAATGTAGGGACCTTAATAATTAGAACAAAGTGTTAGGGGTTCCTTCTTGTGAGTATGCCACAGTATCCCCCCAAACCGTATTCTAATTATTAATGCCCCAACACTATAGTACCCCTTGTAGATCCCGTAGAGTAGCCCTGAAAGATCAATTGAAATAGCCCTACTCCAACTCTGAAGCCCCTTGCAACGGCGGCTTCAGGCCTCTGCAATAAGACTGCAAGCCGAGAACACACGACACCCCAGTATACTGCTGATGGACAAAATCCTGCATGACCCTAAGGACTCTAAACTATGGGAACTATGGTATATTTCTCATAAACGGTAATGCAGGATTTTGTCCATCAACAGTAGAAGCCCCCGAACACTAAACCCCCAACCGCTCAACGCTACAGCAACCTTCACACCATAAATCCTGAACCCCGATCTAAACCCTTAACCCTCAACCCTGTAACCCTAAACTTACCTTTTGTTAGTAGGGAATGTAGGAATGGGGTACAATTATAACTACTATTACTACAATTCTTCCATTCCCTACTAACCAAACTAAACCCTAAACCCCTGAACCCCTAAACCCCAAACCCTAGACCCCAAAGCCTAAACCCCAAAGCCTAAGCCTTTAGCTCGACCTGCAAGCAAGCAAGAGGCACTGGACCTGCTTCTTTGTGGACCTCAAGGCGCCCTCTGGGCTGCGGGGGAATGTTGGGGCTGAAATAATTACTAGAATGCCCAGTAGTACCCTTCTTCCCTTTTTGTAGTCCTAGGTTCCTTATAAAGTTACCCAATACCAAAAAGAGAGGCCTTTTTATTCTTAGGTTACTGGGTATCCTAGATTACCAACCGTATTTGTGGGTTCCTTACTGTATGTCTAGTAAAATCTACCCTTCGGGCTCAAATTCTTAAATAGATACCAGTAGTTTTCGTTGGGTTCCTGAATATGTAGTAAAATGTACTTCAAGACCCTATCCTAATTATTAAGTCCCGTATTGTACCGGATAATGGAGGCCTTGTGGTCCTTAGTTGTAAAAGCTTCCTGGAGGTTTAGAGGGCTTAGGTTTAGGCATCAGGTTCAGGGTTTCAGGGGTCCCAAGTCATTGGTTTGCTTGATCCTTCGCGTGCCCCTGCTGGCACTGCGGACCACTAAACCTTGAAGCAGTGGACGGCGCAAAATTCATCGTCGGCACACATAGCAACTAGACACGTCGCCGTCCCTCTCTCTTTCTCGACTCCATGTCTGGCTCATTCAACGCTACTCTCTCTCCCTTTCTCTCTCTCTCTCTCTCTCTCTCTCTCTCTCTCTCTCTCTCTCTCTATCTCTCTCTCTCTCTCTCTCTCGTTCTCTCTCCCTTTTTTCTTTGGTTCTTTCTTCCCTCTCTCTCTCTCTCTCCCTGTTTTTGTTGTTTGTTTCTTCCTTGCTCTCTCTCCCTCTTTTTCTCTCCCTCCCCTAGAAAGTTCCAGTCTTGGTTGCGACAGGTCCCGGTGAAAAAGCCCTCCCTGTGGCCTCTGCATAAAGGTACAAGATTCATTAGATGACTCTACAATCTGTTAGACTGCCCGGTATATGATATATGCAGTTATGTACATGTGTGTATGTACCAGTATATTCTCAGTATGTAGATCTGCATCTTATGCCGTGAATCCAGAAAACACCGCAACGATATTATGTTTTCATATAGAGTAGCTACCTTTGTCGAACCCCTTTAAATAGCTTTATACAGCCCGTACACCTGCAACGACTCAGATAAACGATGTAGAACACGGTAAAGATGCAACAATAACGCCCTGTAAACGCGCTACAAAACACTCATAGAGCAACCCTCCAACAACCTGCTAAAACCATCACCACACCACACATTTCGCTCAAAACACCACTTTGAAACCCGAAGCCCTAAACCCCAAACCCTAAGCCCTAAACCCTAAGCCCTAAGCATCAGGCGGGTCCCTCGAAGCCGCGACAGTATCGAAGCAAAGAACGCGCCGAGCCTCGAGCTCACGAGCAGCCGAAGCACGATGAGCCTTGGGCGTTCTTGTGGTTTGGGGTTTAGGGTTTAGGGGTTTGGGGTTTAGGGTTTAGGATTGAGGATTTTTTTGCGTATTTAGAGTTTGGGGTTTAGGGGTTTAGGTTTAGGGTTTTGGATTGAGGGTTTTTCGGGTTTTTAGAGTTTGGGGTTTAGGGTTGAAAATTGAGGGTTTCGGGTTTAAGGTTGTGGGTTTTGGGTTCGGGATTGAGGGTTTGAGGTTATGCAGGATTCCCCGTGCAGTGTGGTACACACTACGGGGTTCAAACCTTGGCAGTAAAGAGAGTTGATGAACACGGCCCCGCGGCGTGCCTGGAAAAACGTTCTGTGATGCGTGGCTCCGCACGGAGTATATTTTGTGCTCGCTTGCAGAGGATCGAGGCGTGGCCGTTGTAAATCCTAATCCATGGACCGCTTTTGGATCTCCGTGAGTCGCAGCAGTCTTCGGAGACAAGAATTTTGGCCGGCCTCCTGCATCCCTCCAGGACCTGGGGAGGAGGCAGAAGCCAGTGCTTGGGGGAAAGCAGATTTGGCCGTGGTCCCACATCATCTGGATTCGCCCTGGGGTTACCTCCAAACCTGCGGGAACATGCTTTCCTGGTCGTGTCGTGGTGGTCTCTTTGGTGGTCTCCCCACGGTTTTTTTTGGGTGGTCTCTTGGTGGTCTCGTGAAAGTGAGCTTCTGGGGTCTCGGTGCTCGTGGTTGTCTTGGTTATCGTGGTCGTCATGGTCGTCATGGCATTCACTGTTTGATCGGATTGTTGTTCTTGTGCGTTTAGTGGTTCGAGGTAGTTGTTTCAATGTTGTTGGTCTTAGGGCTTCAATAGGGGCTTTTCACGGTTTGAGAAGTTTGGGATTCTCGTGGAATGCGAGATGTGGTTTTACGCAGTAGATGGGCTTCATTGGTGGGTTCACATGGGTATGTGGGATGCCGTAGACCTTCTCGCGGCTGGAAATGTTAGTTTGGAGCATCCCACAGCTTCTGAGCCCCTATCCGTAAAGGCACCTGGCAGTGAAGTGAGACGGCCTCCTCCCGCTACTCCCCTGCTTTTCCTACTTTTCCTACTGCTCCCACTCCATCCCGCTGATGCTCCGATGCTAAAAGCGTCGAGCGCAAGGTTTCGGACTGTTAAGCTGTTGTCACGATGCCATTCTGACAATGATTGCTTCTGGTCTCTTTGTACTTACCGCGATTGCTACTCAGACGAAGGTATGCTCTGACGACAACTGCAGCACCTTTCGCAGCTTCGCACTGCTACTTTTCACCACGTGTGATTCTGTTACTGTCATTATAGGAGGGAATATCTACCTAAACCCTACAGTAAGCCCGGACCTAAACCATAAACCTTTACTGGAATGCAGGTACCACTCCAAACCCTTAAAACCCCTATTCTCCTAAACACCAAACCCCCTAAACCCCTCGCACTCACTCCTCCTGTTGATGATACAAATCCTGCATGACCCATAATAAGGAATATACCGTAATTCCCAGATATTCCTTATTATGGGTAATGCAGGATTTCTATCATCAACAGTCCCAGTCTCAGGAGAAGTGTCCACTGTGTTTGGGCCGAGAAGAGAAGACCGAGGCGGCTGTTCGCCTTGAGGTTTGCTCGCCTCTGTGAGTCTGATTAGGGGGCTTAGGGCTTTGGGTTTAGGGTTTGGGGTTTGGGGTTTAGGGCTTTGGGTTTAGGGCTTAGGGCTTTGGGCTTCGGGTTTACGGTTTGGGGTTTAGGGCTTTGGGTTTAGGGAATAGGGCTTTGGGTTTAGGGTTTGGCGTTTGGGGTTTAGGGCTTTGGGTTTAGGGTTAGGCTTTTGAGTTTAGGGTTTAGGGCTTTGAGTGTAGGGTTTAGGGATTAGGGTTTGGGGCTTTGGGTTTTGGTTTGGGGCTTTGGGTTTGGGGTTGAGGGCCTTGGGTTTAGGGATTAGGGGTTTAGGGTAGGGGGTGTATGACTTAGGGTTTGGGGTTTAGGGCTCTTCAACTCGAAACCCTAAGCACAAGCGATTCAACGTTGTTGCAAGGCTTGGTTGTTCATCAACAATAAGGTTCGGCCTGAGATGTCTGAGGTTTGTTCACTACAACCTGCAGTGGAGGCCTTCAGCACTGGGAACGGTGATCGATGCGTTGTGTGACCGCATGTCTCTGAACCTGATGCTGGTTTTGTGTTCAAAGATGCAAAGGTACAGCATGCGTACATCTATGCGTGTACTTGTATAGGCATATGTGCATAAATACATGTATGTATACACAATTATAGGTATATAAAACAATAAATACCTACACATAGACAGGCAGATAGATAGATAGATAGACAGCTAGATTCTGAATTTGGCTGGAAAGCTTTGCTTCCCTTTATAATACTTGCTACGAATGGTGTAGAGGGTTTGGAAGGCTCAATCCAACCCCTGAGAGTACCTCTAGGGCCCTAAATCCTTGTGCCCTACAGCTGTAAACCCTAGACACTAAACCCCAAACCCTAAACCCCAAACACCTAAACCCTAAACCCCAAACCCTAATCCCTTAAACCCTAAACAATTCACCCAAAACGTCTGCAGGTCTTGCGCGTTTGGCCTGACGGGCGGCTGGAGGAGCGTGAGGGCCTCCCTGAGTCAGAGGCCAGAAGGTTTAGGATTCAGAGTTTAGGGTTTAAGGTTTAGGGTCTAGAGTTTAGGGTTTGAGGTTTAGGGTCTATAGTTGAGGGTTTAGGGTTTGGCGTTGAGGGAAGGGGGTCTAACTTGTAGTAGGGTAGGTAACTTTGATCCTGCTTGGGTCGGTTTCTGCTATCCCTATATACCTTTATTTAAATCTGAATCTTCAGTTCCCCTAGCATGCTGGACAAGTACGAGAATGGAGGATTAAGTAGGGCTTGTGGAGTTTAGGACTCAGGTCTTGCCGAGTTCAGTTGCCAGGGCTCAGGTTTGGCGATGTAGGTTTCGGGTCTAATGATTGAGAGTTAGGATTAGGGGGACCCTTGGGGATATAGACCCTCTCAATAAGGCCCCGTTTAAGAGAGCCAGAAGTAGGGTTCAGAAGGGGTACCCTTTAAGGCTTTAAGGGGTCCCCCTAATAATACTACCCAATGATTGGGGTTGAGGCGTTCGGGTCTGGCGAGAAAGGTCAAGGTTCACTTTTACGGGGGCTGAAGATATGGGGCCTAAACACGCAACCTTCAGAGGATCATCGTTCAGGTTCCTCGAGTTCTAGCAGGGCTTTGGGGTTCTGTTGGTTTCGGAGAATGGTGATATAGGGGTCTCAACAAATAGAAGAGGGCTGGTGAGGGCGCCTTATGGTATAATTTGCACAGGGATTATCAGCCATATTGTTGGTAAGTATTCCGACCTCAAAACTCAGGACTCCTTTTCCCCGGCAGGGCGAAGCCCAGCAAGGTTTGGACACTGCTAAACCCCAAACCCTAACCCCACTGCCATGCAAGGCGGACAAGACGAAGTGGCTGGTGCGAGTTCTACGAAACCCATTTCCGTACTTGCTGACACCACAGGACTGCCCCGATTAGTGGGTGGTTGTCAAAATTAGGGTCCCTTTTTGGGTCCCTAATATAGCACGGCACCTAATATTTAGGGTGCCCAAAAGGGGCCCTAATTTAGACAACTACCCTGGCGTTTAGAGTTTAAGGGGGTGTTTTGGAGTTTAGCTTAGAGCTGCCGAGGGTTTTACAGCCTAGGATTCCTAGGCCCTAAGTTTCAGGTTTAAGGTTTCTTGAACAGCCTTGTCCTCTTTCATGGTTCCCCCAAAGGAATAAACAGACCGGCGAGTAGACCTTCTTAAATAATTCCTACTAAGGGATATAGGTATAGGCGGTATAGGGCTCTGTCAAGTATTTCTAAAAGGACAAGGGTGTTCTTGAAGGCCTCTTGTCGGTGCATGGCATTTGGACTGAACGGGTCTTCACTGTGGCATGAAGGTAGTGAGGGTTTGATGGTTCTGGGGTGCTAGTGACAGGGTTCGTTTGTTGGCGTGTTCCTGTTAGGGTTTTATTTAGGATCCTGATTGAGAAACCCTGACCCGAAAAACACAAAATACTGGGATTCAAACAAACAGCCGTTTCTCCCCAAACCCTGAAACCCTGTCAAGCCCTAAAAACCCTACCATCTGCTCAAGAGGCTCCAAGAGGTCGTGGGGATCTTTGATCTTCGGGGCTGGAAGTTGGAGTGGCCATGCGCCGAATATCCGAAATAAGGAAGCCATGATTTGAAACCTACCGACCTCCTCCCCCCCTTGTCTGCTTCTTCACCGAAGGCCCACCAAACTACACCCCCAAACCCCCTAAAGCCAAGCCGCCAGGAGCTCTACCAAACGCCTTTCCCCGGGGATCGGAGCAAACACGCCGCCTGCTTCGGTGATCATGACAACCATGCTGCGAATCCAGATGCAGACCACCCGCTCTACAGGCCGTTCATTGAAGGGCTCGAAAAGCAGCTAAGGCGTCTAGTTCAGGTTTCGGAGCGACGGTATACGACACACCCACTCGCACCCTTAAACCCCGAAGTCCCGAAACGATACCCCTGTAGAACCCTTTGAAGCGGATTTTAGGGTTAAGGGTTTGTTAGAGGCAAGAACACCCCATAGGGCCCTTGAAAAGCAAGAACCATTACAGAACCCTTTTAGAAGCAAGAGCCCAACCCCTAAATCCGTATTAAGAACCTTGTAAGGGCACCCCAAACCCGAAGCCTTAAACCCACATTATAAGAGCACTAAGCTCTTCTCCCTAAACCCTTTAAAGGAACCCTAAGGTCTAAACCCTAAACCAATTACAGGAACCTTACGCTCTAAATCCTGAATCCTTTGAAGGAGCCCTAAGCTCTTAACCCTAAGCCCTTTAAAGGAAGCCAAGGGGGGCCCTTTTGCAGGAACCCCTTTTAAAGGAGCCCTTTTTCAAAGAGTCCTTTTACAGGAACCCTTTTTAAAGGAGCTCTTTTTAAAAGAGTCCTTTTACAGGAACCCTTTTAAAAGGAACCCGGTGCAAAAGAATCCTTTTCAACTTCAGCCCTTTTAGAGGAACCCTTTTTGAAGGAACCCATTTTAAAGGAACAATGTGTAAAGGAACCCTTTTTAAAGGAGCCATTTTTAAAGGAACCCTTTTTCAAGGAACCCGTTTTAAAGGAACCCTTTTTAAAGGAACCCGTTTTAAGGCAACCCATTTTAAAGGGACCCTTTTTAAAGGAACCCCGCTTCAGGATGGTCGATGGCTACGGAGCCTCCGAGGTCGTCGTGGAGTCCCCGAGGCAGAATCTGTTTAGGGCTGTACTTGGAGTTTCATGGGTAGTTCGTAGAAGCTGCCCCCACCCTGTAATAGTGACTATAAGGGTTATATTAAATTAGGGCCCTCCACTATTACAGGGTGGGGGCCCCTTCTAAGGTAGTTCTAAGTTCTAAGGGTCCCTTTAACGGGATCTATAGGGGTTCTATAAGGGTAAAGGGTTTAGGGCTGTAAGGCAACATTACGGGGAGTTTAGGGTTTAGGGCTGTAGGGGCTTTAGGGTTGGAAGGGGTTCAGGTTTCAGGCTTTAGGATCTAGGGTTTAGGGTTTAAGGAGAGTTTAGGGTTTATGAAGGGGGTTTAGGGCTCTCGGGTTCAGGGGGAGTTTAGGGCTCCTGAAGGGGGTTTAGGGCTGTAGGGGCTACTCGGTTTGGGGCTGTCGGGTTTTAGAAGGGGAGGTTAGGGCTTCGAGTTTAGGAGTAGGAGTAGTAGTAGTAGTAGCAGCAGCAGCAGCAGTAGTAGTAGCAGAGGCTTGGGTGTTTTAAGGGGTTTGGGGCTGTAGGAGCTTCATAGGTTTTAGGGTTTTGGATCAAGAGCTGTGGGTGTTTGAGTACGGGGGTTTTGGGGTTCTTAGGGTGTTTGGGGTCCTTAGGGTTCTTGAAGCTGTAGGGTTTTTGGGGTCGCCGAATCGCGCAGGCACAATGCCATGATCGGCATTGCCGAGGATGCCCAGGCGGCCTGGAGTTCAGGATTTTGGGGTGCAGGGGTAGGGCGTTTCGGGTGCAGATGTTGGGGGCGGGGGGTGGGCTTAGAGCTTGGAGTTTAGGATTTGATTCCCCCGGGCCTGGGCTTAGGCTTTGGAGCGATTGAGGGGGGCCATAGAGCTTGGAGTTTCTTTAAGGAATATGCCACCACTACACGGTCGTCACCAATAACAACGCAAATCTCAGCAACAGTTACAGCAACATTCAACATCACGCAGCAATCAAAACCTAAGCACGCAACGACCACCAAATGGCAACACACACACACAAAAGCGACGGAAATGAGACACCATCACCACCACCGCCACCGCCACCGCCACCACGGCCACTGCCACTGCCACTGCCACCGCCACCGGCGCCGCCATCATCAGCAACATCAACAGCAACGGGAGCAGCAACAAGAACAACTACGAGGGCATCGACGACAGTGTCGCCAACGATAGTCATCACAGCAATTATTGCAAGAACCCGACAAAGAACGTTCTTCCCGCCAACCTCAGAGCGCAGGTCATCCATACGCTGCGGGCCATGGCTGCTCGGGGTGATGGGCTCAGAACGGAAGTGTTCGCGTGGAGGGGAAACCCCATATGGGTGGTTGTCAAACTTATGGCCCCTTTTGGGTCCCTAACATAATACGGCACCTAAGATTTAGGAGACCCAAAAAGGGACCATAATTTTGACAACTACTCATATGGCAGCTGCAGGCGATGCAGAGCTTGAGAAAGCAATCCTTGATATAGCTATGGTGCAACGGGCCCATAGCTATGGTGCAGCGGGCCCCAAAACCCTATTCTAATTTTTCAGGCCCCTATATTATTCCTTAAACTATAACAGGAAACCTAAGCCAGCTCCCCTAAAGCGCAACCCTCTGTTTGCCGAGGCAGGTCGTTGCGAAGGTGCAGCGAGGTGGTGCAGCTCATGTGGCTTGACTTCAGGAATCTTAGTCTTCAGGTTAAGATAGGGGCCTTAACAGATACCTATACTATTTGGGGGGGGCTCCTTATTGTAGTTGGAATATAAAGGACCCTATGTTATAGGCTTTAGGGTTTGATTCAGGGCTTGCGGGTTAGGGTTGAAGAAGTGACGAGTATTTATGTCAAGCAGCCTCAACTCTTTTAGATGCTTCTGGCTATGATGCTTTGAGCATCATATGGCGGAGCCTCGAGCATGAAGCCCACCAGATTTCCCCACGGAGTGTCTTCCAAGTACGCTGCCGGGGCCCTTCTTCAGCTTCGCCTTAAAACGCCTTTCAAGTAGTTTCTGGGCATGATTCAGACAGCCTTAGCGCCAAAACTTAAATCCTCAAGTCAACACCCAAACACCAAAACCCCATGAGTCCTAACCAATAAACCAAGGTACTTCAAGCAGTACGGCGCCGAAGCCAGTGGTTCGCTTATCCACCCGCACATGCAGCGCCCAGACTCTTAAAGGCCGCACATGTAATGGGTTTTGAATGCATAACTAGAAAAAGTTCAGGGTGTAGGGTTTAATCAGGGTCTAGGAAGCCCTAAACCCCTGAACCCTAAACCCCTAAACCCTAGGTTTCAATTCAGGTTTGGGGTTTAGGACGCTTGTTTTGCGGGTTGTATATGGGTTGTTTAAATCTCCAAGGGAACACCCTTCTGTTCATACCATACCATTGTTGCCATGGGATTGGGGGTTTTGTTAGTATTTTCAACATTCCTAGACCCCCCAACTACCCTCTATTATACCCCAAATACCCACTATTGGGGACCATAAGAGCTCTATTAAAGGGTCCTTGTTGGGGGTCCAGGTTTGGGATCTAGTGGGACTGCTCTGCTCATGTGTTCTTCGACGCCTTTCGCTTTGAGCATCTTAGAGCTTGAAGCCCCAAAAGCTTCCCATGAGAGTGGTTGAGTTGTGAGGCTAAGGGTTGGTCCGGTTTAGGGTTTAGGGTTGAGGGTCAGAGATCCGATCTAGAATCTAGTGGGCTGGTCCATGGGATAGGACAGGTGTATCGGAAATTATGGAGATGCAAGAGATGATAGGGGCATCTCTTTGTACGGGGCCTTGAGGACTTGAGGCAGCAGTGCCTTCGCCCTAAACCCTAAACCGTCATCTTATGTTTCGATGCTTGGTGGTTCCTTCTTCCAAGTTCAGGGTTGAAGTCCTTCGGTGCTGAGTAGGTAACTTTTGACCTTTTCATGGTGTAGGGCTTAGGGTGACATAACCAACCATAGACTCAAAGGTTGCCCTTGCTTGGGCTAGGGTTATCAGCCCCTCAGTTAGGAGTTGAGGGCCTGATATGGGGGACTTAGTTAACAATTACCTATACTATTTCGGAAGCTCATTCTTGTAGTCATAGTAAAACATACCCACAATGAACCCTGTTGTGATGAAAGACCCCTACGTGAGGGATCCTCGGATCTGCTCTTGGCTCCATGCAGTACAGCTCGAGCTTGAAACGCAAGGCGTGCCAAAATGTGTTGACACCCAACATCTGCGTGACGCCCCATAGAAGACAAGCCCCTAAACCCAGTTCTCCTTTCAGCCTTAAATCCCTACAGCTCTTTAGTCACCTTGTCAACCAGTTCTGTAACCCTTGAACGGAAGCGAGGCCTGCAAGTGACCTTCTGTTTCGCAGCGTTCGTGTAAGCACCACTTGCCTGCAGTAGCTCCTCGACTACAGCACCCTTTCAATCCTATCTGGGTAGTTGTCAAAATTCGGGTCCCTTCTTGGGCACCCTACATATTAGGTGCCGTATTATAATAAGGGCCAAATCAGGGACCCTAATTTTGACAACAACCCATATGAACCCGAAGCCCTAAATCCCTACAGCGCCCTCATCTAAGGATCTGCTCCCTGCCGATCGTGAGTCGGAGCCTGGAGCGGCGGATCCAGGAGACCCGGGCTTAGGGTTTAGGGTAGAGGTTAGAAGGGCCCCCACCCTGTAATAGTGACTATATGGATTACATTGGGGCCCTATTATATTCCTATTATACCACTATTACAGGGTGGGGGCCCCTTCAAAAATCGAGGTTTCTTCAAGTGGGGGGGAGGGTGTTGCCCTATATCCAAGGGACATCATCAGGAAGCTACTACTTAAAAGGTTTCTTTAAATGGGGGAGGTGGCATTTTAGCAGGATCCTACTACGCACTTAAGAGGTTTCTCATAATTGGAGGGGACTTAGACTTGATTTTTAGGAGACTTCACAAGTAAAGACCCTAATTACTACTTTCTTCCCGCATGAAAGAAGCCGAACGAGAGCAGCCAGAGCCAGAGTTCGTGCTTCGACGGTTTTGAGCCGTAGGAAGTCTTCTTGGAGGTTCATGGGTAGATATACGTTGGGTTATAAGTGGGGTAACTATGGTTACAAGCCCTATTAGGGGGCTTATAACCCTACTTATAACTACCCATGAACCTCTAAGTTGGGTCTGAGGAATTCAGGCTTCAGCTCTAGCGCAGGGTTTTGTAGAGCTGGTTTAGGGTTTAGGGGTGTAGGCTTTCGGTTTTTAGGGGTGTAGGGTTTAGGGGTGTAGGCTTTCGTTTTTTTGGGGTTTGGGGTGTGGGGTTTGGAAGACCCGCTCGTCCTAATCATAAAATCTGAAGAAGATGAGCAACAGTAGCAAGATGCATATACTACAATTCGCCGCCGAAAGCTTAGTCTCATTGTTAGGATCACATGTTAGCCTGCAGCCCTAAGATTGGTCCGGTGTGGGGTTGAAGGGTTTCAGTTCTCCAGCTTTTTCAGCTGGCAGATTCAGGGGCTTTGGGTTTACATAGGGTTCTGGGGGCGGGGGGGGGGGGGGTGTTTCCACTGCATTCGAGTAGTTTCGCAGGCAGACAGCACAAATCCGTTTGATCCTCTCCCCTCCTGAACCCTCGACCCTGAAGCCCTCCTGTAGCAGCTTATGTCGTATCGCCAAGCAGCTAGGTTTTAAACTTGGTTTAATCACAAGGAGCAACAAAAGTTTAAACCCTGAAAGCCTAACGATATCCGAAGATATAATAAAAACCCACAGTATCCTAACAAGAAACATTTAATAACACATGTTTATACAATTTGGGATATGAAAATATAGTATGCAATACCATTAAAATATCATAAAAAGAACAAAATACTATTAACATATGCTAAAAGAACATGCAAGTATCTTGAAAAAGAAGCCGCTGGATCATAAGGCGCAACATCCTGTATTACAACGTACCACAACATAGTATAAGATACTATAGAAGATCCTTAACAAATCCGAAGGATCACGAAGAGTATAAGATGATATGATATGAGATGATAGAGTGTAATATGTTTTAATATAGTATACAATACTACATAATATATCATTACAAAAACCCGGAGGATCACAAGGATTTCTTTGATTTGCACGGCTCTACGGCGGTCCAGAGGCCTCGTTTTGGGTCTGGGGAATCTCAGGAGACAAGGGACCGTCTGATGGGTTTAGTTATAAGGCTTCCTGTAAGGGGCCCTTTAAATGGATCTATAGGGATTCGAAAAGGGTATATAAGGTTTACCTACTTGGAGGTTCATGGGTAGTTATAAGTCGGGTTATATGTAGGGTAACTGTACTTACAAGCGCTATTAGGGGACTCTTAATCGTACTTCTAGCTACCTCCAAGTAGTTCCCTTTAGGGGTTTAGGGTTTAGGGCTCAAGGTTTAGGGTTTAGGCTTTAAGGGTTTAGGGTGTAGGATTTCGAATGACAAGGTACTGGGATGCTATGTGGGTAGCTCTCTAATTAAGGATCAAAAACGTACGGCACCCTTCTGCAAAGGAGCCTAAAAGGGGCTCTAGCTTAGAGAACTACCCTTATCTTAGAGCCTAAACCCTACAACCCTAAACCGTAGGTCTTGTGTCAGAGCTGATCCTAGAGAACAGGAGTTTCACAACAAAAAAATGCAACAAAACTAAAGCCCTAAACCCAAAACACCCCCAAACACTAGAGTCCTAAACCCTACCTTAACCCTGAAGGACCTACCTTTTTACAGACTTATATAAGGAAATCATAATAAGGAACCCTAAAAAGGTAGGTTATTCAGGGTTAAGGTAAACCCCTCCTAGAACCATAATCCGTCAACCCTGGAGGTCTCAAACAAAATCCTGAATCGCGAGCCTACGAGGTTGCAGTTTAGGTTTTCAAGCCGCTACTAGTAGGATCCTGTTTCAATGAACCCGACAAACGAGCTCCGAAACCCCTGCAGTTTGGAGCTGATGTTAGTGCTAAGGATGTGCGGTGTGGACAGAGTTTAGGGCGCTTTGGGTTTCCGGGTTTCTTTCTAACACCCATGAGGTTGGGGTTTCAGGGTGTATGCCTGACGGCTGAGAATCTTTAGGCAGTTGGGTTCTGTGACTTGGGGTGGGGTCGACGGCTTCAGGCAAGAAGTCGGTCGTGGGTGTCCAGTGTTAGCTTACAGAAATTCGTGGGTATGGGAGAAACGGAGTACCCAACACTACAATGCACCAGAATGCACAGTATCATACAATATACCTTGAATATGCTATAATGAACCATACTTTACCATAATACAATATACTACGGTGACGTTGAGAACTGTCAAATCGCCCCCCGTGGTTGGGGCTCCTGAAATGCGGCCAGCCCAAAGTTTGACGTGCCAGAAGTACATGTGCTCCTGAGCATGTTGGTCCTCAACTTCCAGCAACTCCCACACAAGAGGAAGAGCCGAGGTGTCAAGTGAGGAGAACATGTCTTGAAATGTATATACCAGGTACCGATTTGAGATAACTTGTCATTTATTGAGTGGCTTACTGGTGATATAGAGCGCTGGCTACACATGAGATCGGCGGCTGTTGAAATCGAGTTCAAAGTCGCGATTTCTGCTGGAGGCGCTCAGGATAGAGCTCTTGCAGAGCGTAGGGTTTGGGAACAGAGATCATGGCAGTCTCTGTCGCCATGTCCAAGTTGAACCCCGGCTGCCCAGGCTCTATGTCGACGAGGTGACGGGTAGAACTGGAAGCTCGGCAGCAAAAGAAGGCTTCCACAGGGTGTTCAACACCTTCATACATTCATTGTGTCATGTAAAAGTTTCAGTTATTTGTACATATTGGTATCAAGAGCCAGACAATACTATATGATTAATAACTAGCAACATTCCTTCGGGTTCCCAAGAATTGGAGTCCCCTAGACACAGCGGCCCCCTCCGAAGCTATGCATGACCCGAAACCGAAGTTTCTGCGCTGTAAATCTTCGAAGCAACACCCCTTCAAGTCCGAAAGCACTAACCTAGAACTTTGCTTCCTGTAGCCCAAACCCTCAACTCCATAAACCCTGAAACCGACCATCCCAAAGCCTTGACCTAACACGAATACAAGCCTGCGACCCATCAATTCCCAATAGCTGGACAGCTCAAAAACCCTGTACAAACAAACAGGTTCTAGTTTTGGGGGGGTTTCACGCCGTAGCGACGTTGGACGTTGATTCGCAAGACCCATAGAGACCTCATAGAAATCTTATAGAAACCGTGTTTTAGAGCCCGAAGCCCCATAGAAAAGGAAACGCTCTGGCGGTGGCCCGGCTCGTGCATCAGACCGCCCACTTCGTGGCCAGCGTGCCGTTTGCACAGGTTCCACGTGGGCCCCTCGTCTGGCTGCTCCCGGGAAGCCAGTACTCTTCACTTAAGAATAGACCTTAGACTATAAGTGTCTGAACATTATGATTGGCCTCAGGTTTTGTAAACCCCGAACCCAAAACCCACCCTGAGAGAAAACATTAACCGCTGAATTATACAGGGTTTTAGGGTTTTTGGCTCCAGTGTATTGGGGCTTTGAGAACTCTTGGTCTTCCGCTTTGTGGTTTTCACCCGTATGACAGAGCCCAAACCCCTAATCCAATTATTAAGGCCCCTCCTTGTACCCTCAAATAGGGGTATTGGTCCCAAATAAGGGGCATTTAGGGTCTAATAGGGGGTAGATGGAGGGTCTTGGTTAAGGCCCCTATAGCAAGCAGCCTTGACCAGATGTTGCGTAACTAAGGAGACGTGCAAAGCCCCAAACCGGACCCAGAGAGCCCAATACCCTTATTTTCAGGAATATAGCTTAAATCATAATATGAAGCCCTATATGATTTAAGCTACATTCCTTAATTAAGGGGTATTGGAGTCCCCTAAACCCTAAACCCTAAACCATAAGGGATCCCTTTAAAGAACCTTGAGGGCCCCCTTGGGCTCTCTGGGGAACAGCAGAAGCCGAAGGCGAGTCGTGATCGCCCCACGGAGACATTCTGCCAGATTCGAGGCCTCTTCATGGGGCTTCGGCCAAGAGAGCCCAAGTATACCTTAATTAAGGAATATGGCTGAAATTATATAGGGTTTCATATTATGATTTATGCTATATCCCTTAATTAAGGAATATGGCTTAAATTATATAAGGTTTCATATTATGATTTAAGCTATATTCCTCAATTAAGGGGTATTGGGCTCTCTGGGGGGTCTTCGGGTGTTTCAGGGGTATCTGAAAGTAAGATTCCAGATCTTACATAAGGCAGGCATCGGCATACAGTAATTAGCTTTGACTTGAGCTATCTGGGATTAGCGTTCCGGGTTTCGGCAGGCATCCAGGATGTAGGTTCAAGAAACCTCGGGCTTAGTTACTGGGGATTGTCAGGTTTGTCGTAGTAAGGCTTGTGACCGCTTGTGTTTCTCGTGAGAAGCCAGGATAGCTTTCAAAAACAGTGACCCGGAATCTGCAATGTCATGACCCTCTCTATCGATACGGTCCGTGCTTAACTTGGCATCTGCATGGTCATGAGTGTTTTCTTCACCATAATCGACATGCTCATTGCGCTATGTGCATTATCCGACGTATTGCTCTTGTAGTCATAGTAGTAGCAACGAGGGTTACTACTGATGTGACCGGTTGCTGTCACCGCCTTTCACCAATGTTTGCCGGGAGGAGCCCTTAGGCGCTAACCCCTAAACCTCCGTAAGCTCCTAAACTCTAATTCCAACTACAGGACTGCCTGGAGGAGGAACTGGTGGACTTGGGCAAGCTACTAGGTTGGATTTCGGGACATGTTTTAATTTTCCTTATTTTGGGTTTATAAGGGGCCCTATACATAATTATTTCGGGACATTCTTTATTTTCCTTATTTGGGTTTATAAGGAACCCTATACATAATTATTTGTTCAGAGTTTATTTTCCTTTTTAGGGTTTATAAGGGGCCCTATACATAATTATTTTTCAGAGTGTTTTTAAAGGCCAAGCCAGGCTACTCCGTCTACTCCTTGCGAGCCTTTACCGGTTCAAGGCACGGCACGGCACGGGGTTTAGGGGTTTTAGGGGATTAGGGTTTAGGTTTAGGGGTTGAGGGTTTGAGGGTTTAGGGTTTGGGGGATTAGGGTTTGGGGGTTTAGGGTTTAGGGGATTAGGGTTTAGGGGTTTAGGGTTTAGGGTTTGGGGGTTTAGGGTTTAGTGGTTGAGGGTTCAGGGTTTGGGGCTTTAGGGTTTAGGGGTTTAGGGATCTGAAGAACGACGTGTTCCCATGCGTAAGTATGGTATGTCAGACCATACCGGCCCTACTTGTAAAACCCGATTCCAATCACTAATGCTCCGATACTACTTGTAGCTCTTACACTCTCTCAGGGTGGTTTTCAGGCGAAATCACGACATGTGGGCGGTCTTGTCTAGGCGATCGACACAGACCAAGCCGGCAGCTCATTTCCCTTCAGAGTTCAGGCATCCGCTGACATTAAGCCAAGCTTCTTTTTTGAAGGGAATGTAAGGGTTCAGCAATACGGGGGGCTTAAAGCTTGAAAGGCTTCCTCTGCGGGCTCCAAAAGGGGATCTAGAATCTAGAATGGGGGCACTGTTCCAAACTGGTTTCTTTCGCCAAGGTGAGGCCTTCAGGAGAATCTGTCAGAATCCCTTGTCGGGGTCCTTGTTAGTTTTGACTCCAACTACAGTCGACCCTCAGAGGAAACCCAGAGTTGGAACTACCCCTAAGGCAGCGAGTGTGTTTGCTGTTGCAGGACGACCCTTCCTACAACCTCTTCTGGGAGACTGCACCCACAGAGCACTGGCACGCTTTCGAGGACGAGGCGTGGGTGGGGAGAAGCCGGCCATGCCAACGCCTGGTTGTTGCCACTGTCCAAATGCTGTATGCATGCGCAATGTGCAACTCCTTGAACTCGCCTGACTGGCAGACAGACATGACAGAACTAGCAGAGTGTCGTTATATCAAGAAGCTTGCTTTAAGCAAGCATCTTTTGGGCACATTTAGACCTGCCTAGTTTTCAGGGCGCCCTACTATCTTTGGGACCCGAGTAGGCGCCCTAATGTAGAGAACTGCCCATGTAGAACCTTCACAGAAACCAGAAAGAAGCCCTTATACATCCCTTTAAAGCACCCCAAAAGGTATTCTTAAGAGAACTACAAATGTAGATCCATCATCCCTGAAAGCTTAAAAGTCTTTACCGGCTATCGGGCTGTAAACTCTGAAATTCTGAAATGTACACACAACAGAAGCTATCCAGTATATAAGATGTAGCACATGGTATATGATACATAGACTATCATGTAGAACATGTGAAAATGCCTCTCTCTCTCTATATATATGTGTGTATATGTATATACATATGTTTCGACACCTACCAGCAGGCTGCGTTCTACATTTAATTTTGGAGTTGAAGGTTTATGGTAGTTTTATACCAGAAGACTAGGATCCTCCAGGTGGAAAGGAGAGCTGTGGAGGAAAGCTTCTGCTGGACGCTGCACATTCGCACCTGGGCGTTCTTGGGCACTGCGGTTCCCAACTAAGAAATAGCAGGTTTAGGGTTAGGGCCTAGGATTCAGGGTTTATTGTGTCTGGTTCACCTGCCACATCTTCTCTTCTTATGCTTCTTGTCAGTATTTTGTCGAAGTCACAAGAGCAGAGCACACGAGCAGAAGGGAGGATGCGAGAGAGGGAGAGGGAGAGAGACAGAGAGAGAGAGGGAGAGAACCCGAAACCCTCGTGTTGGCTGTTTTCTCCGCGGCTCCACTGGTGGAATCGTTTTCTCTGCTTAATACAGGGGCCTTAGTGATTAGAATGGGGTTTTGGGGCCCATTATACTATATTGACTATATTCATAACAAGGAGCCAACGACATGGTACTGGTAATTGTTTAGGCCCCTACATAATATAGCTGGGCAGGTGTATACGCGTATACACAAGTGTGTAGACTGTATAGACATGAACACCTACACATAGTATAACACCTCTATACAAAACCCCGCAGAGCCATGGTCATACAACCCCCGCCAAACAGCTTACTTTAGTGATTAAAGCTTCTACAGTAGAAGCGAGAAACTTGGAACATCAATATCCTCAAGCCCTTAAGGTAAAGTATGGGGAATCCCACCACTAGTCATCCTAAATCCATGTTTCAACTTTCTGGGGCGCACTGTATACCCAAAGTAGGGTCACTGTAGTTACAACTCTATTAGGGGACGTACAGCCCTACTTATAACTACCCATGAACCTCCAAGTAAACCCTAAATCCTATACCCCTGTAGAATCCCTATAGATCCCTTTAAAGGGGCCCTTAAAGGAACCCTTATAACTACCCATGAACCTCCAAGTAAACCCTAAATCCTATACCCCTATAGAATCCCTATAGATCCCTTTAAAGGGGCCCTTAAAGGAGCCCTTATAACTACCCATAAACCTCCAAGGTATACCCTAAACCAAAAGCTGAGGTGTCCCACACAAGGCTTCGGGCTTCAACTTGGCATCCGGCCGCTTGGCCTTTGGAGACCGAGACTACTTGGAGGTTCATGGGTAGTTATAAGTGGGGTTATAGGGGTTCCTTTAAGGGATCCTTTAAGGGTTCTACAGGGTTTAGGGTTTAGGGTAGTTATAAGTGGGGTTATAAGTGACAGTAACTTAAGGACGAGATGAACCCCTAAAAGGGTGTAAGGTTCATATACCATATAGGGATTCATAGTATATGGATATAAGGCTCCTACTTTTAAGGGTCATTTTGTCCGCAGCGTCTACTTGGAGGTTCATGGGTAGTTATAAGGGTTCCTTTAAGGACCCCCTTAAAGGGATCTATAGGGATTCTTTAGGGGTATAGGATTTAGGGTTTACTTGGAGGTTCATGGGTAGTTATAAGTGGGGTCATAAGTAGGGTGACTATAGCTATAACTCCTATTTGAGGACTTATAACCCTACCGATAACTACCCATGAACCTCCAAGTAGGATGCCCATTAGTACCCTTATTCCCTTTCTGTAGTCCTGGGTTCCGGATAAAGTTACCCACTACCAAAAAGGGATCTCTCTTTTCCCTAGGTTACTGAGGCAGATGAAAGATTGCTCAAGAAATACCAAGGCTTAATGGTTCAGGGTTGAGGGCTTAGGGGGTTAAGGGGTTAAGCCCGCGTAAAACCCTTTGTAGAAACCGAAAAATCATGTCCGTCACACGGGATCTTCAAGCAACTCCCTCCACTTGATGAGGCTAGTGATTACCCCACATGTGTGGGAGGAGCGGGTGGTTTCGAAATGTGTACTCTCCTGTCACGACCAGCAGCTACGAGAGACTTCGAGCCTCGAACTTCGAACAAGACCGCGCCACCGCAGCCTTGAGGTGTGGATGTGACCCGTCAGCTTCCTGAAGAGGAAGCGAAGGAGCTGTGAGTTTGAAGTCGGTGCAAGGTCACACTCAAGCTACAGGTTATCTGCTTAGGGTGCACGATCGATGAGGATCTCGAAGAAGATTCGAAGGCTCCACGTCACATTGTAGTTCTAAATTCTATCACGTATGCACCTGTATTCAGGACCCCTTCGAACCCAGTGCACATACACCACGCCTCACTATGCCAAACCACAGATCCCAATGCAGTCCAAGGGCTCGACAATGACTTGCCAGAAAGCCCAAGCACCCTAAAGCAAAGACGATATTTCACACTATATATGGAACGTTGACGAATCCGTGATAGAACCACTACCCGAACCTGAACCCTCACTAAACACCGAGCCGATCTCTGGCCCACAAACCATGGAAGCCTAAACCCCCCAAACCGCAAAAAAGTAAGGGCTCTCGGCCTATCCAAATAGCCCAAAGTAGGTAGTATATATAGACGTTAGACCCCAAAGTAGGCACTATTTGTATACTTGGAGTCTTAGGGTATCTTGCAAAGCTCCCGAAGGAGATCCGGACGGCTCTCTTGCAAGAGGCACCTCAGCTCAGACCCAGTTCCCTCCACACCCTTCAGAAACCTGGGCCTCAAAATTGATGTTCCCAACATGGTTTCGGGTTTGGGGTTGCTGAATAGGGGTTTCAGGTTGATGGCATTGGATCTCAATTTGGTGTTGGATGTGTCTTCTAGAGGGTTGTGTGTGAGTGTGTGTGTGTGTGCTTTGTTATACGGTTTTGTATTGTTTGTGTATGCCTCCTCCTGAAATCTGTGATGCCCCAGAACATGACATGCACAAGTTGCTTTTAAACCAATAGATCACAAGAACTGGTGAGTACGTACCTGTGACGGTGCTTAGGGCGTGGATGGTTTAGCTGCCATCCTTCGGGAAGCATCGACGATGCAAAATACTCAAACTAGTTTAGTGGTCTTAGGTCGTATCAGCGCGCCATTACTACACATAACGAGGTCGCACGGGAAATGGGGATGCAGCAGCAGCAGACTTGGATTTGGGTGTTCGATGGGTTTTTATGTCTGGTGAGGTGTGCTAATCCTTAGCCCCCAACCCCTGTCACCGGAATCCTACCTCTAAGCCGTCTGAGGTGACCTACCCCATAGGCACCTTCGGCTTCGATACGGAGCAGCTGAACCTGGAATTTCCCAACACGGTGGGCCCGTTTGCCTTGAGCTTAGAGGGGTTTCGGGTTAAGGGGCTTACCAAGCAGAGTTTAGTTTAGGGCTTGGGGCTTAGGTTGGTGTGGTTGGTAATTACATTTGGCAATTTCGTTGACTAGGGTGACCGCTAACTTTTGCTATCTTAGGATTGTGATGTGTGTGTGTGTGTGCGCATGTGTGTGCAGGTTATCACGTTAAGCCGTTTCTGGGCTAATGAGAGATTCGCCGACTTCTACGATGTTTTTTAGACTAGTGCTTGTAGGTATTGTTGCCGCGAGGTGGAGCATACGACCTTTGGGCAGACAGGCAAAAGCGCTTCTAGACTCCTAAATGCCTTAATCTTTAGCCTACATCGCTAAACCCTCAACCCAAGAACGAGGTCATGGTCAATGCACAGATGGCCGGAGCCTTCAATGAGTACTTTCGCCACCCGCAAGTCTGCAAGCCAGATCTTCAAAGCTGCTGGGCTGGCCTTATTATGGGTTTGGGGTTTAGGGTTTAGCTCTGGCCTTATTGTGGGTAGACCGTACAGTAGGCCGCGATTAAGAAGCCTGAATCCCTACCCAACCTTGAAGAGACTGATTCTAGACATCGGAAAACGAGGACCCGTAAAGAGAGGGGGTCTATTCACCAGGGGTCTACATCATCATGTTCCGCCGGAAGCCATAACAGCAAAAAGCTGGGATTTAGGGCCACGTGAGGCTTTGCCTCTTGATGGAAACTGTATAGGATATCATATTGTACCATATTAGTAGTATACTATACTATACTGCACCATGGACTAGATAAGACTATAGTAAAGATACTAGACTATACAAGAGGAGATGAGGCTCCAAGACACGAGGGTTGCTGCTGTGTGTTCCAGGGTTTAGGGGTTTAGGGTTTAGGGGTTTAGGGTTTAGGGGTGAAGGCCAAAGCAGCTTCATGGTCGGCCTCTCTCCTTGCCACATCGGCGTGGGAGATGGGGAGTTTCTGCCGGGGCCTCAGACGGGACAACCCAGAAGCAACGCTCTATTTAGCTCGGGGGTTTTTGTGGGTAGTTATAAGTGGGGCTGTAAGTCCCCTAATAGGGGTTATAGTTGTAGTTACCTTACTTCTAACTCCATTTAGAACTAAATACCCATGAACCTCCAAGTAGGGCTCGGAATACGTAATTGGTACTCGTAGTACTATCCCTAGGGGTTCCTCATCATTCACACAGTGAGGTAACACTGTGTCGTTCTTCGGCTCAAGCTAAACAGAAATCAAAAATTGTCCGGGCAGCGCGCGCGGAAAAGGAGCTTCAAGCAGCCGCTGCAAATCGTGTCCCCACGTCCTATTACACAGGATGAGTTTGATGCGCGTTTCACGCTGTGGTGCGGTGCACAGTTTTCGCTGGCGTCCTGTTTGTCGAGGATCCGCCTGAGGCGCACGTCCAGGGCCGGGATTCATTGTAAATGACAAATAACACTACGTGCAACACTTCTGGCTCTCCGGCAAGAAACATGAACAGTTTGGATTCGCAGCAGTACTTGTGAGAGGGGGTTCCGGGTGCCCCTGTAGATCCAGCAAGCTAAGGGGGCAAGCATACTATAAGGGCCTCAATAATCAGAATAGGGTTTTGGGGCCCATGATAACATTTTCATAATAAGGAACCCCCAAAAAAGTATTGGTAATCATTAAGACCCCTCTACGATAGATCCCTTATAGACCCCTTTAAGGAACCCCTACTATAGTAAGTCTCGTGCTCCCGAAACGCGCCGATGCTTGGGGCAAGCAGGGTCTGGCTCGTCTCTTGGTCTCTAATGGCGCTCTCTGGCTGGTCTCTTGCTACTGTAGGGGCCTTAATAGCAATAATAATAGTAGTAATAATAGTCATCATAATCATAATAATCATAATAATGATAGTAATAGTAATACTAATAATAATTGGAGGGGGGTTTGGGGGCTTCCTGAATATAGTTATATATATATATATATGTATACCTCCGAACCCTATTCTGATTATTAAAGCCCCTGAATCAATCTTCTGGTGGTGTCCCCGTCGTCTGCTGGCGGTCTCATGACTGGGTTCTAGTCAAAGACCTAAATCTAAGTTACCTCAACAGGGATCTATAAGGCCTCCTGTAAGGGGTTAGGGTTTAAGTCGGTTTAAGGTTTAAGTTCCCATAACAGGGATCTATGGTAAATAATATGCCTTCCTTACTATGGTGGGATTGGGGTTTAGGGTTTAGGATTTGGGGCGAAAGGTTCTCGCTGAATGCTCCGACAAGCGGTGTAAATACTGGAGAAACCAAAGATGGCAACTAGTTGCGGTCCCAATGGAATGCTTCAGGTACACTCTTTCACTGTTTGGGGATCTCCGCAGGCGAAATAAGAAGTTTACTTGGAGGTTCATGGGTAGTTATACATGTTCCTCCAAGTATCAGGAATAGTATTATATACTGTGCTATTACTCCGACCCCTGGATTACCCCGGTTGCCGGCTCGAATTTTTCTGGGGAGCCGGCGGGGACGGCGAGTGCGCAAATATGGCCGATGGATGTGTTCTGATTGTTCGAGAAAATGTTCGCATGTGAATGGCAGTGAATGGTGTACCGACTGTTCTCGCGCGGAGCTCTGCTTTTAAGTTGCTTTTGAGGAAATGCCATGAGCCTTCGCGGACAGAAAAATCGTGACGTTTCAGCGGTAGACGCTTCGCTGTTGGGTCTAAGTCCATCCACTCCTCATAACCTAGCTGCTGAGGATTACCCCTCACCCCTAAACTCTAAACCCGTAACCCAAAAACCCTAACCCCAAACCCTAAACCTAACCCTAAACTCCTAACCCTGAACCCTAAACCCCTAACCCCTTGTTTTTCACCAGCGAACCCATGGCCATAGTCCTGAGCAGGATTTGGGAGTTTCCGAAAATTAGGGGTACCTTTTTGGGGGATCCTTATAATAACAAGGACCCTATTATTTAAGGTATTATATTAATTAGGGTCCCCTACTTTCGCAAACTCCCATTAGGTTTGGGGAGTTTAGGGTTTATAGGTTGTAAGGGTTAGGATACAGGGGTTTACAGTTTAGAGAATCGAAGTGCGGAGTCTTCGACCACGTCCGCGGCGTAGTATGTCGATTTCTGTGACAGTTTCATTGCTCAGCGGCAAGAGCGTTACCGTGCAAGCAGGCTGCGATGAAACTGTGCAGGACTTGAAGCGGCGGGCACAGGAAGCGCTCGGAGTCGGTCGAGGACGGCTGCTGGACTCATTTGGAGGTGTTCTGGATAAATGTGTACCGACCAAAAAAGCCAGGGTACAGAATGGCGACTCACTGACGTTCCACAAAAGCCATGTTCAAGTTCAAGCCGCTGATTTTGCATTCGCTGCCATTCTTGGTGATGGATCCGTGGTGACCTGGGGCGATGCTGCCCATGGTGGCGACAGTAGTGCTGTGCAGGATCGGCTGAAGACTGTGCAGCAGATCCAAGCCTCATCGCGGGCATTTGCTGCCATTCTTTGTGATGGATCCGTGGTGACTTGGGGCCATGCTGACTTTGGTGGCGACAGCGGTGCTGTGCAAGGCCAGCTTACGGCTGTGCAACAGATCCAAGCCTCCCGTGGTGCTTTTGCTGCCATTCTCGGTGATGGATCCGTCGTGACCTGGGGTGGTGCTGCCTTCGGTGGCGACAGTGATGCTGTGCAGGATCGGCTGAAGATTGTACGGCAAATCCAAGCCTCTACGCAAGCTTTTTTCGCTATTCTCGGCGATGGATCCGTGGTGACCTGGGGTGATGCTGCTCGCGGTGGCGACAGTAGTTCTGTGCAGGCCCAGCTGCAGACTGTGCAACAGATCCAAGCCTCTCGTGGTGCAGTTGCTGCCGTTCTTGACGATGGATCCGTGGTGACCTGGGGTACTGCTTACTTTGGAAGTGACAGTAATGCTGTGCAGAGTCAGTTAAAAAATGTGCAGCAGGTACAAGCCAATGATGGCGCTTTTGCTGCCATTCTTGGCGATGGGTCTGTCGTGACGTGGGGTGACGTATTGTGCGGTGGAGACAGTAGCGCTGTGCAGGGTCAGCTGAAGGATGTTCAGCAGATCCAAGCCTCCGGCGGTGCTTTCTCTGCCATTGTTGGCGATTGATCTGTGGTAGCCTGGGGTGCTGCTGTCGATGGCGGCGACAGTAGTCTCGTGCAAGAGAAGCTGAAGAATGTGCAGCAGGTTCAAGCGTCCCACGTTGCGTTTGCCGCCATTCTTCGTGATGAATCTGTCGTAACCTGGGGCGATGCTGCCCATGGTGGCGACAGTAGTACTGTGCAGGATCGGCTGAAGACTGCGCAGCAGATCCAAGCCTCATCGCGGGCATTTGCTGCCATTCTTTGTGATGGGTCCGTGGTGACTTGGGGCCATGCTGACTTTGGTGGCGACAGTGGTGCTGTGCAAGGCCAGCTTACGGCCGTGCAACGGATCCAAGCCTCCCGTGGTGCTTTTGCTGCCATTCTCGGCGATGGATCCGTCGTGACCTGGGGTGGTGCTGCCTTCGGTGGCGACAGCAGTGCAGTTCGGGAACTGCTTGGGGCTCTCTAATACTGTCGCAGATCAGCTCAGTCGCTGGGTTTGTTCATGGTGTTTGCCTGCAAGTTGCATCACGAGCAGCAGCTCAGCAAAAAAAGCTGCGCAGGCATCTGTGAAGATGCAGCATCGCCTCGCATTAAGTGAAGTTCATGTGCACTCATCAGTCTTGTCAAATATCCCCCATATACTCGCACCAACACTCCGTTTGTTGACCCAATCTCTTGTGAAGAGCCAAACCTGTCCACTATCGGGGCCAGTGCTTGCAGGGTTGTGATTGGCCAGCATCCCTTAATCGAGTAGTAGTCCTCAGATTATCGAGGATTATTTTATCATATGCCTTAGTTGAACGATGTTGGAGTCTCCCTTGCGGTTCCTAGATAAATCATACGGTCATACACATTAAACATTCCATAATGTTCAGGTCCCTACCTACAGTAGGGATTGGGTTTGAGGCTACCTGGTTGGGGGAGCCCGAATGTGGTTTAATGCAGGGTTCCTTCTTTTGGTTCCTTCCTCTTGTTTTCTCCCTTGTTTCCCGCTTTCTTTTGTTCCGAAAATCTAAGTGCCAATATCGTGGGTATGCTATGCTGGCCGTAGATGTATATACCATGTCAGCACTCATACCTATTTGTTGCACGTGGGATCTGGATACTCAGACCTTAACCTTAACTGTTTTCCAAAGCAGTGTGGTAACACGAAGCTGCTCTTGTGTTCAGTATAAAGAGAGTTCATACTCTATGGCGCGCGGCGTGTGCATAGTTTTGGCTCCATGCGTCCCAGAATACCTGTACTATTCACAACAACTTCTGGGTCCCCGCGTGCCATTCTTCATACAGCATGACGCTGTGGTGCGGTGCATGGTTTCCGCTAGCGTCCTGTTGCTTGTGCAAGATTCGTCTGAGGCGTGCGTCCGGGGCCAGTCTGCATTGCAAATCACACTACATGGACCACTGTTGACTCTCGAAAAG